TGGTCCCATGTGGCTGGTGAAGCAGCATTGGCAACATTAGCCCGGCGTACTCCCTGAAAGACACATCAGCGTCTGGGAAATCATACGAGCACACGCCTGCGAGTAGACCTCCTCGAAACTGTTCCCCTCCGGTCCACCGGACGAACCTGAGCCAAAAGAGACGACACAGCAGAAATCCACCTACGTCTCGCCTTGACGAAATTAAAGGCAAGACATAGAGGAAGTGGAATGCACTACAGCTGCAGCTGCAGAGCCCGCATGGGCTACAGGGCCTTCATCCGTGATCTGATTTGCTACACCATGCAGAAGTTGCATTTTCGTCCAGACGACTGCAGGGAAGAAGGCTCTCAGCTCAAAACCTTTCATTCCGGCTGAGTCCGACCGTGCCACCAGGGTGTGTCTATGCGCGGTTGACACACGCCAAGATGCAAGGCTGCAGTTGAGGGGGGGGGCCTTCTTTGCTGAATCTGTTTCAGTCACGCGGCTGCTTCGCTGCGATCCGCGAGATCCGCGAGACCCACGCTGCGATCCGCGATTGTTGTGCTCCTGGCTTTGAGGTTTTGGGGGGCTGCCTTTGCGGGCTCTCAATGAACCTGTAAGTCGGAGCCACGCGTTACGCGTTCTTTCATCCAAGCTCATGGAAGCCATGGAAAGCCATGGAAAGCCATGGGTCAAGGCTCTGCCCCTTAAGCTATCTTGAAGCCAATGCGAATACTCCGACAGCAGCAATCATCAAACAACACCCTCACCTGAGTTCCCCATCCCCGTCAGGAGTCCATGATCTCCGCTGTGACCAGTGCTTCAGCCTCTTCCACCCTTAGAAGTTGCAGGCCGCAGGCCTCTTGAAGCTTCATATGAGTTGTGAAATAGGCCCCCCCCCCTTCGTAGCTCTTAGCCCAGAAGCTCTTCCTCTTGGGGCACCTTTGAGGTGAGAATGTTGCCCAAGAGCACGGTGTGGTGGTCTGCGTCCACCTGCTTAAGGGTGGGGGGTCTTGTCAAAAGGGGTGACTTTGGGATGCACAGCGGGTCCTCAGAAAGCTTGCTCGACATGGGGCTGACCAGCTCCTCAGTGAACTTGCAGACACTGGGAGCGATCTTTCAAGACATCCCCAACTGTACCCCGCGGGGGGGCAACCCCAGGATTTAAGACAAAGTAGGCCGGAGAATTAAATTAGGGTTTTTTTGTTTGTTTTGGGGTTGTTTTTGTTTTTTGCTTTAGGGTTTAGGGTTTAGGGTGCAGGGTTTAGGGTTTAGGGTTTAGGGTTTAGCGTTTAGGGTTTAGGGTTTAGGGTTTAGGGCTTTTTTAGGGCTTTTTAGGGTGTAGGGTTTAGGGTTTAGGGTTTGGGGTTTAGGGTTTAGGGTTTAGGGTTTAGGGTTTAGGGTTTAGGGTTTAGGGTTTAGGGTTTAGGGTTTAGGGTTTAGGGTTTAGGGGTTAGGGGTTTAGGGTTTAGGGGTTAGGGTTTTTAGGGTTTTTAGGGTTTAGGGTTTAGGGTTTTCAGGGTTCAGGAATTAGGGTTTAGGGTTTAGGGTGTGTCAGGGGAGGGCGCGCGCTCGGGTGTGAAACACCCCGGGCCGCGCGCTCGCGTTGCCCGTCAACCCAAACTATACTCCATTAGGGTTTAGGGTTTATGGAATTTACTTTCTTGTGCTCTGATGCTTGCTTTGATGTTTTTAAAGTTGCGCTGTTAGGGTTTAAGCTGGGGTTGGGGGTAGCCTCGGCCCTTTTGGGGCCTTCGGCGTGTCAGGGCCCGTAGAGGCCCTTATTTATTTGAAGGTCAGGGAAGCCCTTTGTGCTTGCTCCTGGATTCCCCTTCTTTTAAGGGCCTCAATTAAGTTGGTGGCTCTTGGGGCCTTTTGGGGGCTTCCTGGGGGCCTTCCTGGCCTTCTCGGGGAAAAAAGAAGGAAAAAACCATCCATTTCAGTACCAAAAAATCGCATTTTTCATTGCGGGTACGGGCATCCTGGGGTCCCCCTTCTTTTAGGGGGCCTTTTGAAGCCTTTTGAAGCCTTTTGGTGGCTCTTGGGGTCTCTCGGGGCCTTGTTCGGACCTTCGGCGTGTCAGGGGCCGTAGAGGCTATTCATTTGAAGGTCAAGGAACCTATTAGTTTTTTTTCGCCAATGAGTATTTCAATGGCTAGGGTTTAAGCTGGGGTTCGGGGTAGCCTCGGCCCTTTTCGGGCCTTCGGCAAGTTAGGGCCCGTAGAGGCCCTTATTTGCTTGAAGGCCTTCGCAGGGTTTTGCGGTGTTAGGGTTTAAGCTGGGGTTCGGGGTAGCCTCGGCCCTTTGCGGGCCTTCGGCACGTTAGGGCCCGTAGAGGCCCTTATTTGCTTGAAGGTCGCAGGGTTTTGCGGTGTTAGGATTTAAGCTGGGGTTCGGGGTAGCCTCGGCCCTTTTCGGGCCTTCGGCGCGTCAGGGCCCTTGCTGATTTGGGGGCTTCCTGGGGCTTTCCTGGTCCTTTTGGGGTGAAATGGAGGGGTGCCCAAAGCTATCGATTTCAGTACTAAAAAAGAACATTTTTCATTGCGGGCAGGGGTGCCTAAAACCATCGTCTTCAATATTCAATTTTCATTGTGGGCACGGACAAATCTTGTGGTCCCCCTTCTTTTCGTGGGCCTTTTGAAGCTTTGAAGCCTTTTGGTGGCTCTTGGCGCCTCTTGGGGGCTTCCTGGGCTTTCCTGCCGCTTCAAGCGCAAAAAAGGGTGCAAAAGGGGGCGTTGGCCGGGGCCCAGGGGCCCTTGGCCCCGGCAGGCCCTTGGCCCGGAAGGGCCCTTGGCCGGTTTTGGGCGGGGTCTTAGTCTAGAACAGAGCCCTTTGCGTTCTGGGGGCCTCTTGGCTTCTCCCGGCCTTGGCCCCCCTTAGCCAGAAGCTTGCTCGGGGCCCTTGGCCTGAGGGGGGGTGGGGCTTTGACCCGAAAACGTAGAAAGGGTCTTTGGCCCAAATTTGTTCGGGGGGCCCTTTGGGGGCCTAGGCCTCGAGGGCCCTTGGTCCAGCGGGCCTTGGCCCGGGGGGCCCTTGGCCCGGGGGCCCTTGTCCTGGAACCCTTGGGTGAAAAAGCCCTATTTGACCCAAATCAGGAAATTCAGCAACCAGCCTGTGTGGACGGTCCAGGAATCCAGCCACCAGGGCAGGGGGCGCCCTCCGGGGGGGCCCGGCAAACCCTGAACCCGAAACCCTGAACCGACCTCCAGAGGCAAAGGGTTACGATTTGGGGTTATACTTTAGCTACGCTAAAGGTGGTCTGGGTGCCGGCCATCCCTTAACCGAGTACTGACGTTGTCGTAAAAAAGGCCGATGTCCGTTGGCCTGTCCAGGACAGACGGTGAGGCTTAACCCTCACCTTTCCGTTTCTCTTTTCGCTTGGGCGCTCGGGCTGTAAGGCCCTCGGCCGAGCGTTCGGGGTCTGTCGCTCGACGGAAGCGACCCCTCACTTAGTTTAGGGTTAGGGTTTAGGGTTTAGGGTTTAGGGTTTAGGGTTTAGGGTTTAGGGTTTAGGGTTTAGGGTTTAGGGTTTAGGGTTTAGGGTTTAGGGTGTAGGGTGTAGGGGTTAGGGTTTAGGGTTTAGGGTTTAGGGTTTAGGGTTTAGGGTTTAGGGTTTAGGGTTTAGGGTTTAGGGTTTAGGGTTTAGGGTTTAGGGTTTAGGGTTTAGGGTTTAGGGTTTAGGGTTTAGGGTTTAGGGTTTAGGGGTTAGGGTTTCGGGGTTAGGGTTTAGGGTTTAGGGTTTAGGGTTTAGGGTTTAGGGTTTAGGGTTTAGGGTTTAGGGTTTGTCTCGCCGCGCCGCGGCAGTAGATGTCATGCGGAGATGGCGCCCCAACACACCCAGGGGGTGTGAGGGGGCGGCATATGTCGCGGCGGCGTATATTGAAGTTGGAGCCACCACAACCAGAAAGGTTGGGTTGTTTTATTTTTCCCGCCCCCTGCTTACGCAGGCATCCACCCAACTTTTCTCCTTTTAGGGTTTCGGGCTAACGCCCTAAATTCCCACTTCCCATCCCCCATCCTTCGCGGGGGAAGGGGAGGTGGGGGGGGGGTGGGGAGGGGGGGGGAGGGGGAGGGAGGGGGGAAGGGGAGGGGGGGGGGGGGAGGGGGGGGCGAGGGGGGAGGGTGGTGGGGGGGGGGTGGGGGAGGGGGGGAGGGGGGCGGGGGTGGGGGGGTGGGGGTGGGGTGGGGGTGTGGTGTGGGGAGGTGGGGAGGTTGGAGGGGGGGAGGGAGGGAGGGGGGGGGGGGGGGGTAAGGGGGAGGGGGCCAGGGGGGGCCAGGGGGGGCGGGGGGGGGGCCAGGGGGGCCAGGGGGGGCAGGGTTCAAAAAAACCGGGTTTGTGGGTTTGGTAGTGGGTTTTTGAGCAATCGCCCAGGCTGACCTGCCTTGCGGCCCCTCTGGTCCCTCAACACGCTCCGTCAGGGGCCCGGCGCCAGGGGCCTCCGGAGGGGGGCCCAGGGACCACGTGCAGAAGCCACTTTCGGTACAGGTCGCCAGGTTTAGGCTTTCTTAATAATACTTGAGAATCGGAGAAGGGGGGCGGGGTACCCCAGGCGGGGTACTGCACCGGCACTGGAGGTGCAGCTCACGCTCAACACAACTCTTTAGGCTTGCACAGGAGCTCCAAGCGATGGTGCTAATCGCTGTCGGGTGATTTCTGGGTCCAGGCACCCTAGAGAAGGGTGGGTACGGCCTAAGCAGGCCTGGGTGGGAATTTAGGGTTTAGGGTTTAGGGTTTAGGGTTTAGGGTTTAGGGTTTAGGGTTTAGGGTTTAGGGTTTAGGGTTTAGGGTTTAGGGTTTAGGGTTTAGGGTTTAGGGTTTAGGGTTTAGGGTTTAGGGTTTAGGGTTTAGGTGTTAGGGTTTAGGGTTTAGGGTTTAGGGTTTAGGGTTTAGGGTTTAGGGTTTAGGGTTTAGGGTTTAGGGTTTAGTGTTTAGGGTTTAGGGTTTAGGGTTTAGGGTTTAGGGTTTAGGGTTTAGGGTTTAGGGTTGCCCTCAGGTGCAGACCGAAAAAAACGTTTGTAAAAATGCATGAAAAAGCAGGTCCCCCCCCCCCCCCCAACAATCTCCCGTCAAGATCTCCCGAAAAATCTGCCTAAATCAAGAGCCGTGCTTCCTCGGGGTTCGTGCCATTCCGCATCAATCGCAGCTGCTTGACCTCGGCTTCAAAACTGCCAGCCCACGACTGGCACTGACGCGCAAAGCTGTTCAAAAAAAATCAATTCATCTCGGTTTGATAGAGGGCTTCAGGAGTTGTCGGGCTCTCGAAGTCAAACCAGTTCTAGAGTTCACGAAGTGGTTGAAGGAGGTGGGCTCAGGGTGGCTCAAGACCTCGAAATGTCCCCTGGAACACGCTTGGGCCGCCTCAGTGGCCCACCTGAGAGCAGAGACTTAACGATATTGTTGATTATTAGGCCTACAATCTATAGTTCAGTTTTGCATTTGAAGAAGCGTGCAGTGCAAGCAAGGCTCCTGCTTCGGAACCAGTTGCTCCATTGTCGACAGTGCAGACGCCTCGATTCAGACCCCAACCGCTGACACTCCAACGACCCGCTGAACCGGAAACTGGGGCAAAAGGACTAGCAACTCCATAGGCGAGGTGCCAGAGCTGGATATTTCTAAGGCGTGGCATTCTGTAGCACTAGCTGCCTCCCTGCCAGCGAGTCGCCGGAGGGTTCGGCTTGTGGAATGTCTCGTAAAGCTTGGAAGCGACAGACGTGGCTAACGCTGCCTGCGCGGACGTTGCGAGCGGATCCCTCCGAGTCTCTGTTGAAATCCAAATTCTCTCTTCTTTTTCTCCACTGCCTTGGCTCCTCCAGCGAACCCTACGAACACGCAGGACACTCGAGGGGAAACTGCAGAACCACACCTTCTTACGGACTGAGAAGCCTAGCCTCTGACAGCAGCGGCCGCCAATGCAAGAATGGGAAAAGCTGTTTGGACAATGTTTTGGAGCAAGAAAGCAATCTTCCTCGACAAGATCCCTTTATGCATGCATGGAGGTTTCTGGCATGCAGCAGCTCTCCCTGTTGCGAGTAAGAAGAACCTCCCCGCCGCACTGAGCGAACTCAGAATCATGTGCAGACTGATACGCCGTGGGGACGAAAGCTTTGTGGACTATGAACAGCTTTCACACTCTCACGGACAAAAGAACTATTTACCACCAACAGGAGAAGTTCTCGTCCTTTGTCGTCCGGCCAGTGTGGTGGCTCTACAGCCTACGAGCCTACACGACGATTGAAGTAAGCAAGGGAGAGAGTGGGGAACCTCCGACATCCTGGCCGTTTCAATGCGCTTGGCGCGGTCCAGCCCGCCTTAAACTGCAGCCTACAGAAATGGATGCTGGATGCTGATAGCCTCCTTTCCACTTTGACTCTCGGGGGAAAAGTAGACCAGCTGGCTACGGCTTGCAGCATGTCAAGATGAGCATATGCATACGCTGACTTGCAGCCGACTGCCATGTCCCGTTTGAAAGTGAGTGCCCATGGCAGAATGCTGAAAAGCCAAGCATTGCATGGTCAGGCTCAACTACTAGAACCCAGCAGTCCATGCAGTCCATGCTCCTCACGCCTGATGATTTCCTTGAACAGTCCTTTAGACTTTCTGGCCTTCTCCTCCCACGCATCCAGGCGCATTCCGGTGAAGGAGGTGGATGCCAAGGGTTCGAGGATGATCCTAGGCCGAAAGCCCTCCTTGTGCATGCAACTACGACATACTTGATGCTGTTCCCTATCCGCACATCTATCATCTCATCTCTCCTCTCTAATCACATCTGTCTCTTTCTAGCAGGTCTAGCCTCCTGACGTTTACTTATCCGGAACACTGTCGCGCTCTTCTTCCCCGCGTTCTTGAGGCACATGCCCTCAAGCCCAAAGCGGAGAAGGGTCACACGCGTCTAGTCTAGTTGAATCTTGAAGGCCCAACCCTCTTCAGGTGCTCAGGTGTACTAAAACTCTCCACCAAGGTTCCCGTCTTTCTCAAGTAGCTCTGCCGCTCCTCGGCTTGCTCTTACAGGCCCACCCAGGCACGAGCCTAGTGACTTCGTGTTCCAGCCCAGCTCGAAAAACTGATCCCAAGACTGTCGGGGACTTGAGAGTGTCACCGTTGGGAGATCATTTTGCCAACTCGAAGCAAAGTCTCAGAATGCCTGGGGCCTTGGGGCCTTGGGAATTCTAGTAGATCCTTGCAGGCAAAAGGCGTGCTGCTTTTTCGAGTGCATGACGACCTTGAACAGGGTTCAACAGATGCCGAAGGATGTGGAGGGAGTTGGGGCCCTTGGAATCTTCCGGATCCTTAAACCTTCACAGCAACCGTTCACTTATCTCGGCACCTATATTTACACACGTGCGCTGCCAGCAGGATGGCATTGGCACTGTAGATGGACCTTTTTGGCATTAGAAACAGATCTTGTCTCCGTGGCCTCTAGCGCATTGGTGGGTCTTAACCAACCTGTACGACATCTCGGGGGTCCGAGAAGCGTGGTGTACTGTGATCAAGCATTGTCTCGATGTTCTCACTCGTGCTGTTCGGTGGAGTCTTTTTGCCGTTTTTGTCAGAAGCTCGTGGGACACAAGAGCTCGAATGCTGAAAGCAAGCTGCTGGGGCCTTCGTCAAGGATAGGAATGCAGAACGCCCAAAGTTGTAATCAGCTCCTGAAATTCTGGTCCAACTGTGGGGCACATATACATATATGTATATATGAACCGTATTCTTCTATATATACACACCTACGTGCTACCCCGACCCACCAGAACCCACAGTTTGAGCTTCGCATATGCACTTGGAAGGTTACGAAACCAGACAGTTTTTGTATTTCAAGATCATTCAATATCCGGAGGGTGAGGGTTTAACGTTCTGTGCACACGCGTGCAGTGTTTTCCTACACAGTGCAGCGGCTCGCTCCATGGGACACTCGCCCATAGTACGTTGGAGATCCCTAACACAGGGGCATCCCTCCTACGAGCATGAGAAGCCGCAAGTCTCACTCCTACCTGCACGACACTCACACAAGCACAGCTCAGCACTCACTCCTACCGACCCTACACAGCGCACAGCACTCACCTAGTAACAAGCAGCTCGAGCACAACGCTAAGCAGACTGTAGGTGTATGCACATGCCTATCAACGCAGAAGCAACGCGGCACATTGTTTTCCTTGTCATTTGAAGTCCAGAGCGTGCTCCCCTCTCAGAGAGCTCTGAACCCCAGCAGGCAGCATGGCTACACATGCTTTGCACCACGGCCTGCCCAAGGCCACACCGTGAAGAATGTCGTCTATCCACATGACTCCTTCTTTGAAGATGGAGCGTTGCCCTTCCTGGGCTTGGCGCCAGCGGCAGGCTGGCTGTGGCTCTGCTACCGTGGCTTTGGCAGCTAACACGTGGATAGCAGACCGCTCACGCACACTCGTGAGCAGTTTTACTGGCAGGGCTACAGACACCGGCGGCGACGTGCTAGAATCTGCAAGGCGACGAAGCCATGTAAACAAGTCACCGCTTTTATCACGCGTGATGAGATGCTCTGGGTCGATTGCACGCAACTGCCGCAAGTGATCAAGTGCGGTATCGAACGACACACCCTGAACATGTGCGACCACAACTGCAGCTATGCACGGCGCATGGTGCACTCCGGCCGCGCAGTGGATATAGACAGAACCCTTGGCAGCCAGGGTGTTGAAAAGGCACTGGCGAACAGCTGCCCAACTCTCCTGCCTAGACGTGGAGTCCGCTAGGGGAATGTGGAGGCTGTACACGCCTGGGTGGGCATACCTTGGCTCGTCCGCAATGGACTCACGGGCGCAAGAGATTACAAGCTTGACATCGTGGTGTTGGAACATTTGAGCATGTGCCTGAAGAGGAGGGCCGCCTAATAAAACCAACGGAAGGGGGCGGCTGGGGTCCCACCTGGCTACGACGGTCGGCGGCTCAGGATCACAACTCCGGCCTGGACGAACCCAGCGATTTCTGGCTACACGCTCAAACAAACACTCTTGAGACTCAGAGTCGCGCTCAGGCGTCATTACAGGCTCCTCGACCTGTACAGGAGCTGCCGGGGCAGGGCTGGCAACAGGCTGGGTCAGAGGCCGCCTATCAAGGATTAGCTTTGGTCTGGATTCAGAAGGAGCTCTCCGGCCGTCAAGCTTAACGAGAGACAGATCTGGAGCAGTTGCAGCACTCCCTGCGCTCACTGCACGCGCTGGCACCGCCTCTCGCGGTCTCTTGCACTGCTTCTGGCGCACGGGCGCAGCGGGCAGCTCAACTGAGTGCGTACGGAGACGCGCCAAGCTGGAGTGGCGGAGGCGGAAGGCTTGCTCGCCTGTCATGCAATGCGACCCACGCCACGCATACTCCACCTCAGCAGCCTCTGCCAACTCGGCAGCCACAGCTTGGCGCGCTCTCTGGAATGACACGCGGATGCACTCGCTATCAGCATGCTCCCACGAGGAACAGGCCTGATCGAGAAGGAGCTCCTTCATGACGTACCTGAGCTGGTGCTTGATCAAAGTCGCTTGTTTAAGCTTTGCCCGATGATATCGCCAGGGCATCACATTCTGGCCGCGACGCGGTTTTTCTAACCAATTCCCCAAAGCGCACACTTCAGTGGGATCCAACCCTCCCAGCAGTGATAGTGTAACTGGAATTTGGCGCCAGGACTTCGAACTAACTCGACGCGACTCAGCCGGTGGCAAGAGAGATGACATGGCCAGGCACACCTGGCTACGCACAGCCTGGGGCTTCAACTCCTCACCCGAGGTGACGCGAAAACCCACACACTTCTGCAACTCCGGCTTGTCTTGCCTTCTCAACGCCTCCAGGAACATGCCACCGAAGTCGCAATTAGTGATTGAAAATCTCGGGCAACTCCAAAGAAATCCTGCCCGTAAACGGCCTTGCTTGCCGCGCACACACTCGAACAGCATGGTACACTGGTCCAACTGGATGAGTCTGCTACGTTGCACATGCATGAAACGCACGCAGCCCGTTGCTTGACACCACGTAGCAAATAACCCTGGCCAGTCCGGATGGCTGTTGCGGTGGGCAATTGCAATCTGCTGTTCCAACAAGAGCAGCATAGCCGGCTGTGCAACTGGGGCCTGCTTAGCACCATGCCCCAAAGCTCCGGGCTTGGCAGTTCGAAACGTGAGAGCTAGATCAAGATCTATAGCTAGGTGCAGACGCTTGCGCATGAAGCACAAAGCAGGCAACACGCGGCTGGCTGCTGGACTATCCATGACAAACTGCGCCACTTGCACAGCGGATAGGTCCGCAACACACGCTGCCTGCTGCCCTGCCCACTCGCAGAGCTCTGACCATGTGCGCGCCACCTTGCGCAACGTCGCTTCTTCTGCTGACAACAGTACTGGATCATGGGCTGACTTCAGCACCTTGCAACTGCTTGGCGAACTTGCTGGCCTTTTGCAAAACCTCCACCAGCAACGGGCGGTGCTTGGCGTTGCTCTCTGAAAGAGGGGCAGCTGAGCTCTTTTGTGTTGCGCTTGCAGCACCAGGCACCCTCGCTGGCCTGTCTTGCTGGACCACCTTCGCCTCGACCCGAGCCAGGTTGCTGGTCTGTCGCAACGACGGACAGGTCGGGGGCTGTTGCCGTTCGTAGAGGTCCCGCACCTTCACCCCCAGGCCTCGCCGGCACTCCGCCCGAGCAGCTGCCCAAGCATCGGCCACAACCAGTCCAGCCTCTTGCTCTGCCTCCTGCCTGCTGTTGAAGTAAAACGCCAACTCACCCCGAGTCTCCAAGCCAGCATCCCGCATGAAGGCATCCATGAAAGCTTCACCCAGCTGCAGCTGCAAGAAGTGAGCAAGGACAAGCACGACAAGTGCACAAACAACACGCCCCGTGACTCTGGGCACACCCCCACACACAGGGGTCAACTCTTGACGGCCATTTTGGCTTGTGACAGCAAGCAACATGGGAATCAATATTCAAACGACTGGCGCGGCGCAAGAACGAACACTGTTCACCTAGCCTGCCCAATGCACAAAACAGTAACAGAGTTGAGAGAGCGTGCAGAACGGCACCCATGTGAAACCAGCCTCTCAGCGCCCACACGCCCTGCTCAGACACTCAGACGCTCAGATGCTCAGACCCTCAGACACTCACATGCCCAGCTGCTCAGACACTCAGACAGCGTCGGAGTGTCTGAGCCTCTGGTGCCAAAAAACCGCAAACGCGCCCCCAATCGATTTCCATATCCCGAGGGTCAGAGTTTGAGAAGCCTCCAAGCTTTAATCTTGATTCTTTCAAAGTTCATACCTAGTCTTGGAAAGCCCTTTTGCTACAATGTATTGTTTACAAGGTATTAGCATTTGAGTTGCGAGTAAGATTTAATGAGGAAAAGGAGGGAACCATTTCAGCATATGTCTTTCAGATTTAGGGCCACCCTGAACCCTGAACCCTGAACCCTAAACCTCTAAACTTAACCTTATTCCTGTAAGGTTTGGAGCCTTCCGCCGCATTCGTTTAAGTGTAATGGCCACCAAACCATATACCTTATTCCGACTTTGTTCTTACTTTGCTTACGGCTCCTATTTCGCTTGAGGTTTAAGCCAGACCTTATTCGGGCACTAAGCCCATTATCGTATGCTCATTATATTCAGGTATTTTAGCATCACAACGTTTATTCAACAAAACATGCAAAGCTCAAAACGGTGCGTTCTGGTGGGGTCGGGGTAGCACATAGATATATATATATATATACAAACACATCGGTATGAAGCGACCGAAAATTTGGAGAACTGAGCATGTCGTGAATATAATAATCATCTCTTTTAGCACACACAGTACAAAGTACAAAGATCGGAGGTAGTTCAATGAGCCATGTTCCTGACCCACCAGGCCTGTCACCAGAACGTAAGAATACGTAAGAAACACAAGCAAAGAACCCTGATCCCATCCCCCTCCCTCAATAGAAACTCGACATGTGTTTTAATATCCACATGCCATCTTCTGGGATAGGGTTTAGATTGACTTGAAGGTTTTGGAGGCCCTGAACCCACCCCCTAATTCGGAATAGGGTTTAAAACGCCGTGTCGGTTGCGGCAGGATTTTCCGGAAGTGTTTTTTAATTGGGGCGGGGGGGGGGGGGGGGGGAATTTCATAAAAACGGAAATGATTAAACGCCAAACCCTAAACCTGCGGACAGAAGCGGAGGTTGCTGCGGGCCGAAGGGCATTCCAAGAAACTGTCGCTCAGCGACAACTGCTCGACTTTGCTGGCCACGGCCTGTGTGGCAACACACCGAGAATCATAATAATAACAAGAATGATAATAGCATTATTACTAATGACACTAATCATAATCATAATCATCATAATCATAATCATAATCATAATCATAATCATAATCATAATCATAGTCATCATAATCATAATCACACTCATAATCATAATCATCATAATCGAAATAATAATAATAATAGTAATAATAATAATAATAATAATAATAATAATAATAATAATAATGGGGAGGGTACTGGAGGAGAAGGGATGACAACCGGGTGTGTTCTTGCCGCTCTACACTACAACCCTGCTTGCCAAACTGAAAACAAAGCTCCCACGGCTTCTTTGAATTACACCTCGTTCAGCGTCTATGGTTGTGGTCGGCTGTACAATTATCCCGAAGCGTGAGGAAGAGGTTCAGGAAGGCTGCCTTGCGGAACCACGGAGTCCCTAGCACACTGGGCAGCGGCGCATGGAGTCAGAGTGTGTACGTTGTCACACGTGACACGTCACCGTCAAAATGCAAACCGAACGATCTGTCAATGGACAAGCTGAGATCTGGAAGGAATGGAATCTGCACCTGAACTCCAGTTACCAAAACGAACAATGGCAATGGGTGAACGTTGGAAAGAATGCATTTGCTGCTGCGAATGCTGACAGGAATCACACGAGGGAGATCAAGAGCGCGAGCAACTACCGTGAGTGTCTGTTCAAACCTACGTCGCACCTTCTCCTTCACCGCCTCGGGTGCCACAACTTTCTCTGGTCGCCGGAGCACCTGCAGAAAGGCAGGTGAAAATCTCTTGAGGCTGGGAGTTCCAATGATCTGGCCGTGGCATCGCCAGCTAGCGAAGGGGTCTCAAAAGGAGGCAAAAGGGCTTGTTAGCTGTTTCTAAGAGAGTCTACAACAAACTGTCACAACAAGCTCCAGATCCATGCTTTGGTGAGACATTCTGTTGAATCGAAGGTGGCTTCGGAGACGGCGAGGATGAAGCCTGAGCCCTCAAGCCCCAAACAGTCCACGCATTAGACCCACAGCCGGAGCATTCTTTCCTGCAGCAGGCCTGCGCCGATGTCTTCCTGAATCCCTGGAGAATTGGGAATTCTAGGGAATTCTAGGGGGTTTTAGGGGAATTTTAAGGGGGCCCCAGAAATCCCAGGTGCCTGGCGCCGCACTGCGTGGTCCTCGCGCTCCGTGGGCGTCTCTTCCTCATCCTCTTCCTCCTCGTGGCAGAAGTGAAGAGATGTGAAACGTCAAAGCGCTCACAAGAAGTCATCGAAGAATGTTCTAAATGTCGTGGGGAGTCGTGGCGTTACGTGCTCGATTACACGACAGGGATGATTCCGAACCTGCACCCAAGAGTTCACAATGCTTTCGCCAGGAAGTGAGGGCTGCCTACCCAACAGGCGAGCAGCGCGGGGCTGTACATAAAAGACAAGATCGACCTTCGAACGCGCCACACGTCTCAGACTTCATTAGAAAACAAACCTCCGGGACACCTCTGGAAAAACGGTACTGCTTTGGGATTGCTCCGCCTCGTGGTGCTCGTGCCGGGCCTTTGGCCACTTCGGCAGATGGACCTTCGGCATCCGAAGCAGGGGCTTCCGCTGTCCTGAGAGAGACATTTCGATCCCCGTCAGAGCACCCGGAATACCGGAATACCAGAGCGTGCTGTTGAGCCGTCTTTAGCTGCCGGAGACCCGGCAAACCTGCTTCGCCGACTGGACTTCTCAGTGGGCATTTATTCAACGCCCAAGCATCTTCAAAGAACTTCTCTATCCTTTCCAGCGGGATTTGGGAGATGATCTTCCCGCAGCAGAATTTGTGCAGGTGTCTTGGACAAATCATCGAAGCCTTTCTGGAAACAGCCTGTCTTCAACATCAACCAGACCTCGTGAAGATTACCCATCGGTTCAAAGCTGGTCGCACCAGAGTTCACATCAGCTCAGCAAGGAGCGAGTTTGGTTCCATTTGCGGTGATCAACACTGCGATTGGCCCACTGGAGGTAAAGAATGAAGGACGAAAAATTTTGGGCCTGCCAAACTGGCTAGAACCTAACCCCAAACATCCCTAAGCTATGAAGGCTGGATCTGCTTCCCAAGCCACGTTTTGGTCTCCCAGCTGTGACGCACATGTCCTGCACTGCAGCATTGATCTCCTGACGAGCTGGATGGGGCTGGCCTACTAAGGTCGTTGGTGTTTCGGTGCAAAGCTGCACTGCATGTCGGCGAAGGCACAAAGTACGAATCCACGGTCCAAACCAGCATTGCGATCCATGTGCGATGACGCTTGGCAATAGATACTGAACACTGGATCCTGACTGAGTAGCTACTATGATCATGCAAACTGGCAAGAAGACTACATTGTGAACTGGGTTTCGTGGTGTATCCGTGTAGGTTGCATGCCTTAGGGGTTGGCGTGCACATACCACGCACGCCTGGAAGATGTTCGGCGTCGTGCACTCATTTTTCATCGTGGTGAACATCACTTGCTTAGAGCTTCAAAGTCAGCTTCTAGCCCAGATCTGCATCCCGGATGGGGGGATGGGCATTAAGGGGGATCCCCGAGTTTCAGCGTCCTCCGGAAAGATCTTCTGCTCCTTGGAGTCATCTGCAAAGTTCTGGTCTGAACGGTTGTTTCAGATATGGCATCTGCTGAACAACAAAAGCTTGGTTCAGGGGAACCTTTACAGACTTTACAGCATGAAAAGCCAGGCGGGAGCCACTAACAAACTCAAATGAATGCTCTCGATTCAGACCAGGTGCACTGTGCTCTTCGCCGTTCCTTCGGAACATGAGGTTGCACAATTGGCGATTGTCAAGCTTGTCAAGATCGTCTGCCAGGCCTTGCAAGAACAAAGAGCATGCAGGGATGAGCATGCCAGTCACAAGCTTGGACCTCGAGAATACGCATCAACAGATGCGAAACCCCAAGGTGGACGCGACTTTTTGTTGTTCGGAACGGAAGACGCCAATGCGGACACCGATGTGCATTTACTCAGAGCGATGCGAGTTACCACTCCAGTGCGAGACGCATGGAACAATGAGTGTCACCGCACTGACGGTACGAGGTGGCTTCTGCCAACCGTCGTTGTGTTGGACCGGCGGCAAAGATTGAAAAGCAACAAGACAAGGTGCGTTCCTCCTTTCTGTAATGTTTAACGATGACGGAAAAACATAAGGTAAATCGAAACCGAACTCAAAAATTGAAAAAACATGCACCGCGTGTTTGTTGACAGGCCTGGCAGCAAAACAAGAGGTAAGTTCAGCAAGGTTGGGCGAAAAAAACTTAGGAAGCTTGCGCGGCTGCCCAGAACCACGGAAATACCTCACCTTGGTGCCTTTGGCATCTTTAACTCAGCTCCGCGGCTGACTGCATATGATTGCCTGTTTCCAACACCGCAGATGGATCTGCACATTGAGGCATCCTTGGCAAAATGCCTTGGAACGGGATCGGCAATGACCGAGAGGAGTTGACTGAAGTTGACCCGATCTGCAGCTCTTGCACTCTCAAGCGTCGACACACTGCTCGAGATTCGCGTGTTGAATATCGTGGCCCTCGAGGCTCCGCGACGCCCCACACACAACCAACAGGTCAAAACCTGTTCCGAAAACTGCCCAAGTGAAGCTCCGTAATGCTGTATGTTGCATCACGAAGTCTTGGCGAAGCGGGCACTTGTACCTGTCGCTGTCGCGGTCGTGGTCGATCTTTAACTCAACTCTTCTCCTCGCCCGGAACCCAACCCCACAGGGTTTCTGGAGTGCCCAACCCCAGAGTGTGTCGCTGGAGTGCCCAACCCCAGAGTGCCCAACCCCAGCGTGTCCCTGGAGTGCCCAGCGCCAGAGTGTCCCTGGATCAGAGTGTGCCTGGAGTGCTCGACCCCAGAATGTCCCTGGAGTGCCCAACCCCAGAGTATTTTTCCTTGGAGTGCCCAACCCCATGTGTCTCTACACCCAGAGAGGGTGGGGATGTTCGAAGTAAAAACAATTTGTTCTTAAGCTTTCTTGCAGCTGACCACTGATCTTGCTCCAGGTTGTTCTGCGCGCCCTCGCTGACCCTTGCTCTGCTGACCACCACCACAGAAGCCTGACCGGAGGTGCCTGGTGTGGGACGCCGTTAGATAGGAACTCCTGGGTGAGGGTCCTTTGGATACTCCGCGAGCGCAAAGTGTCGGAGCTGCGAGGACACCTCACCTCCTGTGACGATACGGCTTTCCTTAGGCCTTAGGATGTGTAGACTGTAGAACTGGCACACTTCAATTTACTTGCGACGCCCGTCGCAATGCTCCAAGGTTCACCAGTTCTAGGTGGCAAGGTGGCGTACTATCGCCTGCAATGAGCAGAGCTTGCTCGCTCGGCATTCAATCAACAAGCAAGCCAAACAACCAAAAAAACAAACCAATCAATGTGGTGTGTTTGTTTGTTTGTTTGTTTGTTTGTTTGGTTGGTTGGTTGGTTGGTTGGTTGGTTGGTTGACGGGTCGGTTGCTCGTCGTCGTCGTCGTCGTACTCGTTGTTGCTGTTCCCGCTTGTTCCCGCTTGCTGCTGCTACTGCTGCTGCTGGCTTTTGCTTCTCAGCCAGGTCTCCTAGGATCTTGGCGCCGACGCCCGTGGTTGCATCACCTGACTTCACATGACAGTCTTACTTCTCACAGTTCTGCGCTTCAGGCATCGGGCAAGGCAATAAGAACATCCCGGGGCATGTGTGGTTTTACACACGCTGCAGCTGGCTTTTGCTTCTCAGCCAGGTCTCCTAGGATCTTGGCGCCGACTCCGACGCCCGTGCTTACATCACCTGACTTCACATGACAGTCTTACTTCTCACAGTTCTACGCGTCAGGCATCGGGCAAGGCAATAAGAACATCCTGGGGCATGTGTGGTTTTACACACGCTGCAGCTGGCTTTTGCTTCTCAGCCAAGTCTCCTAGGATCTTGGCGCCGTAGCCCTTGGTTGGATCACCTGACTTCACATGACAGTCTTCTTCAGGCATCGAACATCCCGGGGCAACGACTTGGCATGTGTCCTTTTCTGGCATCTGCTCCCGCCCTGACTGCATTCCAAGGCTCTGTGCCCGCCGAGCAATTTCGCCTCTACCGTTAAGCACACACACACACACACACACACACACACGAGCGGATATCCGAGAGTTCAGGCACGGACTCCGTTGGATAATTCCCAACTCTGAAACTGAGGAATCTGCACTACCAGTGGACCTCAGAAGAGAACTTTGTATGGATCTCCATCTCTTGTCATGGCCTCGATGTCGATGAAGTGCTTCTGCCAAACACTTCCTCTGAATGGCATCAACAGAAGCTTGGGAGAACATCGGCTTCAGAGCTTGAACGCTCACTTGGAAAGAAAAGCGCGCAGCAGATGCCGCAATGCCCCAACCCCTGATTGAACATGGCAATGTCCCTATGTCCTTGAACCGGGCTTCCTGGGCTTCTCCTGGGCTCCGCAATAGGTCCCTTTGGTCCTGGCCCAAGGACCCCAAGCCGAGCGTCGGTGCGTTCGCAGGATTCCTTTCGTCGCCAACATGAGGAGTTGCCTGACCTTTGGAGCTTTTCAGAACTTTTCGGAACTTTGGGGCCATGTGAGTCCCTGTTTGTGCCTTGCAGAGAAGTCTCACTAAACCAAAGGGACGCACAAGAAACCAGTAGCGCACGACATCAAAAAACGATCATATGCAAAGTTACCAGAAGCCGATGCCTTCATCTACTGATGTATGTGTCGACTTGCCGACAGTAGATTTGCTCAATGCAAAACGCATGGAGGGGTCAAAAACCTCAAGGCTCGTCTTGATGCTGAATTGGCACGACGCATCGGAACCCGTGCCCTCGAACCACACTAAGACGTGTGTCGCGACAACAATCGCAAGCGCATGTATTGCGTGACAACTGTTCAACCGTGCCTGAATGGCTAAAGAAGTGAAAACAGGCCTTGTGCTCCCACAAGATCACAAACATCCAGACCAATGTCACATGCACACACAATTCCGCGTCGGGTAAAGGACAATTTGGGCGAACCGCAGATCGGTTGTACATTGCGGCGACAGCCGGAACGGCAGCATCGCAATCGTTGAGCCACTTTTCACTTGGCCGCGTGTGTGCATCTGCTTCGCGGTCACGAACCAAAAGCTTTCGATGTTCTAGCGCGGGGGCTTTCTGGTGCATGCAGGCCAATGGTGCTTGCCTCACTCATTGAAACTACGAAAACTGTGAATGCTGCTCGAACTGTTAAAACGATGTGAAATGACATCTTCTCGCCGTCACGATGCATCGGTGAAGCGAAAAGGTGCATCTTCTGAAAGCCGGTAAAGCAACGCCATGCGCATGCTGACCAGCAGGTCCTAGGGGGCGGCTCATTCGGGCTCATGGGCTGAAAAACCAGGAAGGGCTCAGGACGACAAGTTGTCAAAGAGGGCGAAGTAGAGATCAGGGGCTCGTCAGAAGTGGACGTGTCATCTGTGTGACTCCGAATCCCAAACTGCAACGCAAGCCTTAAAGCCCTAATGTCCCTCAAGCCTTAAAAAATGTTCATAACATTCTTGCCTCTCACAAAGCTCGAAGCACGGAAACCTGAAGTACGGAAGAGCGAATGCAGACCCAGCATCATCTCGCTGCGTCTTCGTTGCTGCTTTCGTATCCATTCGAAGCACCGCCTCTTCTTTTCTGAGAAATCGGAGCAGAGAACTCGCAGGAAGAGGAAAGGAGAAGAAGAAGTAAATGGTGTGTTTGCTAGTCGAAGAAAGGAAAAGTGTCTTCGACAAAAACGAAGAAGACAAAAACTACCCAGAACTATCTTTCTTTCCCTCGGAAACACACTGTTCCCCCCCTTACCCTCAGGCTTCACTCCCGTCATCGGTGTCGTCCACCTCGTAGTCCGCGGCCCCATGGCGACCTGATCCCAAATGATGCTCTCTTCTGCGACGTCGATTCCGCCGGAATGGGGTCCTCTGAGGTCCGTGTTGGGCGGTCGTCTCGTTGCGCGGCGGAAAGGTTGCCTCGCCCCGTATTGGGGTCCCCTCGGTTGTCCGGGTCAACTTGCCGCTGTTCTTCCGCCAGATCCTGTTGTACCGCTCGAGTGTCGCGGGCGGGGTTGTTCAAGCTTTTCAGCTGATTCACTCCAAGCAACCTCGCGCGCATCTCCCCCTCGGTGCTGCGCTCTGCAGCGATCGCCGGCACACATGTTCCCAATGAACACTTTGCTGGTGCACAAAGAAACACGCAATACCCGGGTCCTCAAGTATCCCGGTCTAATGCCCCTTTTGCCAAGTGATCCCGCCATCGACATGGTCGGCCCCACTCGTTCCAAAGCAGAGAGACAAATTACGCTGTTCCGTCTTGGCTCGGAGAGTGCATGAGGGTGCCACTATTCGCCACTTGCACTTGGGAAAGGAGCACTTGTTGACTACTACCTGTTGGACGTCCAAAATTGAGGGCAGGGGCCTGAATGGTCCCCCTTGAGTTAACACGGCATCTCTCTCTCTCTCTCTCCGTCCCTGCTTCTCTCTCCAAATTGGAGGTGTGCGTGTGGCAACCTCGCACCTCAAAGAGTGTTCATCTGAGTCATTACGGCAGTTCTCGCCGAAAGCAGCAATGACTCAACAGCGGTGGTTCCCAGCAAAGGACAAGGTGACAATCATTGCAAGAAGCTACTGCAGCTTCGGCCCTTCCGGCTGAGACTCGCGAAAGCATACCTTCAGCTCCAACGCTACTGCCCACTTTCATAGCCCAACGCGCACGGGGCCCCTCATGGCGGTCTCTCCTTGCATCTGGCAAAGCAGGCTGGTCAAGCTGCCGAGCGAATGATGAGCAGCGGTTCGCGCAGCTCGCCCGTCACGACGCTTTTCCGGTGCGGTTGACTGTGCACAGGAAGGTGCGCGGCTTAACACGAGCAGCATGGGTTTGCGCGGCAGTGCACATGACAGGAGTGACATATGCATCAGGCCTCCACACCGTTCTGCCGTCTCACTACACTCAGATACACTCAACATGCTCAGCGTGCTCTGACCGGAGTGTATGTGAGTAAAATTTACCATGTGCAAGTTTTGCATGAGCCTCTTCTTTGGCAAACACAACAGAGACAACGGCTTCTTGCGTATGATCTTCAGGGTTTGCTCGGCCTCTGTATGCGTCCTCCTGGTGGTGGACTCCTGGGACTGCGGGAAGCGAGGCTTGCCGGGAGACATGAGGGACTTGCTTAGACATGTTTGCTCGCTTGTGTCGCCTCGTTTTAGTTCTGGTAGTCGTTGCCTTTGTTTCCTTCCTCTCGCAGTTTCTTCTTGGTCGAACAAACCCTAGAGCCCTAGAGGTGAACACGAAACAGCCGATACTTGTGAACATGCCTATTGACGACCTCAATGATGTCTTGCATGCCTGACGCGATTGGATGAAGGCTTCTTGACACATTGTTCCTTGATCTTTGGACCCCCTAGATTTACTTGAACAAAGACGAACGCCCTTTGATTCCACGCGGCTTCTTTGATGGACACCTGGATGCCTCGGGTCACGGCTAGAAGATGACATGCACACGCGTGTCGAAACACAACTGCAGCATGATTGCAGCAAAAAGTGGCCGTAGGCAGTGGATTGGAGCAATGCGAGCAACAAAGCAACCCTTGGCAAGGCATATGTTGTTCGCCAAACCCGAACTCGCTGGGATTTGAAGGATCCATCCCACGAAAGAACCGCGCAAGAGGGCAAAGCATAGAGTTTGTGGGCGTAGCGGTACAGAATAGGAGTACTTGCCGATAAAGATTCCCAACTTCTGACAGATCCAATGCCAACCTTGGTGCCCCAATGACCCATTGCACACTGCTGGCCATGCTGCTGCGTTGGCGGAACAGCATTCGAGCCATGTGAATGATCTTCCTGTGGCCGAGTGCTTGAGGTGCATGATTGAAGTTTCAGACCAGCTGTGGTTTTCTTCAAGCAGTCTTTCTCGCATGCAACTCGCACAATACAACGCCAAAGGCAAATAACATCGTGCACGCATCTTATTCTTACACATTCACGCTGCCGCTGCCGCTGCCGCTGCCGCTACTGCTGCTGCTACTGCTACTGCTGCTACTGCTGCTGTCACACCCACTTCTCGCTGCCAGCTGCAAGCGCGAAATCGTGCGGTTAAATCAAGCGTAGAAACTGCAAGGCCTCTCCGAGCCGAAGCCCTGCAGCCCCGCCAAACATCAACGAAAGCAACCCTGGAACTGTCATCGCCCAACATGAACTCCCTTCAGCAAAAGCAAGCACGACAGATTTCATACGATACACACAATGGGGGAAGCTACGCCATGGTGCTGCAGCTTTCTGCAACGATGCGCTGGAAAGCGCTCACAGAAGATGCGGCATGCAGATTGCTGGTGTTTGCACGTCATGTACAGAGTATCTTTCCATACCTCTTGGCCAAGACCATGCCATCAGAAATATTCAAAGAACCGTACTTCAGCATGGCCTGTAAGCCTGTATCCGATTAGTTGACACCTGGGAGCCTCAAATCCCACGGTCCTCTTCCCCGCACCCATCGGAGAGCCGGTCAGTTCCATGATGGCCCAGGTGAAAGCGAATTCTGGGAGGGAGCGTTTGCGTTGAGTTGAGTTGGGCTGCGAGTCCAACACTCTAAAGGGTCAAGACTGGGCACTCAGTTGCTGCACCCTTTATGTTTTGACTCTTCATCTGGGCAGGAGGCGGGCTGAGACTAACTTGAACGGGCAAACTGGGGGAGGCGGACTGTTGGCAGATGTTGGCAGTGCACGGGCCGTACGGGCAGGTTCAAGGAGGCCCAGCAAATGCCGAGGCACTGTTGTAGATGATCTTCCAGAGGCACAGTACGACGACAAAGATCAATATGACGAACATCATCACATCCAGCAAGACCTCCAAGACGTGGAACTCTTCCAGTGCGAGGCGCGTGTAGGACCTGAGCAGCTGCAGCTTGAGCTTGTTCGGCCTGTTCGTCTCGGTGCAGTCAAGACGGCTCAAGACTGTCCATACGTGACATAGGCACAGGATGACTAGGATTTGGCATTCAGGTTCAAGGGGCATTAAACAAGGGCACAGCAACAAATACCCTGAACAACGCGGCAGAAATCTGGCAAGGCACGCATCCAGCACCACCATGCCCAGCTGGACAGCCTGCAAGAGGGTCTCAACCCAGCTCTCGAAGATGAAGCCCTCAGCACCAGGCATCGCTTCGCGGCACTACAGGTGCCTGTGAAAGCTCTTGCGCGAGCGCGCGTACGCAAAAATTGCTCACCAGAAGCATGCGGGATCGGCTGCTCTCTTCAGATCTCTGCAGAAACACAGCTGCAGTTTCAGCAGCTTCTTATTCGCCTGCGCGAGGTTTCTGCAAAGTGGAGCTGGCCTCACCTAACCTATCCTAACCTCGACATCGACTCTCCAGTGGCCCGTGGGACCTGGGGGAGGGTGCCTGGGTTGCCCCCATTTGGGATTTGCCCAGTGGTTCCCCTATTGCTTCCGCCCAGTATCCAAAGCGCAAGCAGCAGCCGCGAAGGCGAAAAGTGCTGAGATGCGACGCTTCCTTGGGCAAGGTTCGAGAGCTTCTTCGAAACGGTACGGCCGGGGAATTTGGCCCTCATTTATTTTGCAAACGACTTTGCCGTGGTTGTAGGTGGCTCCCCATGCAAGGGCATGAGGAAAGGCCCTTTTGAAGGCTTCTCGATGCGGCTCCCAAGTTTACACTGCCGCCCTGGTGAGGCAACGAGGCACTGGGCAAAACCGCACAGCTAGAAACGGAACTTCCCAAGCTTGGCAAGGCGCACCCTCCTCAGAGCCTGCCGGTTGACGGTCCAGAAAGGCGTGTTAAAGTGGATGAACACCCGCAGCGTGAATTGAAAGACAAAGATCCTGGGCGCAAGCCATTGGAACAGCGGCAGAAAGTCCATGTTCTAGGCTTGACGCACTGAGGAATGCCATGACCCACAATCGCGAACTGGGATTTATGGTACTCCTCACAACAAGGCCGCAAGAAGCCCTTTGAGGGTTCACGACGACATATTCGCTTTCTTCACGTCTTTAGCAGAAAGCCCAGCTGTTGCGAAAGCAAGTGTCAGTATCACACCGGAGGTGGTGTCCAAAGTAGCCATGGCGCCAGCTAGAACGAAGAGTGCCGACCCTGCATTCGAAACATGGGCAAGAGATACACACTTCGAGAGGACCATCACAGAGTACAGCCAAGCCCTGCCTTCCATGGCAAACCACAGGTAATAGTGCGGCTGAAGCGCGCTGAAGATCAAACCCAAGCGCTGCCTGGAACCCAGAAACCCACCATCACAAAGGATCACAAAAAACATCACAAATTAGAAGCCATAGAAGCCAAAAAAGCATTACCAGCTGTGGCTGTTGTTGTCGGTTGCTTGCTGTTGTTGCTTTCTGTCGCTAGCTGCTAGCTCTACTATCCGACTGCACATGGCGTATACTGCAAAGACGAGCCGTTCAGCAACTAAACTGCATCCAGCTTCCGAACTTGGATCCTGTTGAGGTCATGTCCTTAGCTCAAGTTCATGGACATGGGAAGTTTCAGCAATCCGCAGCAGTCACATGCCTGTCATTTGCCTGCTGAGCATCGTGATCGGTACACGGCATAGACCTCCAAGATCCTCTGGGTTCTTATCTCACGCAACATGCTGGAACCCGCTGGACTTGGCACACACACACACACACACACACAAAGACCCCGAATTATCGGACTAGAGACCATTCATGAACCCGGAGACCTGAACCCCTAAAAAAACCCTTAGCCCTAAACCCTAAAAACCCCTGAACCCTAAACCCTGAAACAAACTGAGCCCTAAACCCTAAAAAAACCCTGAACCCTAAACCCTGAAAACCCATAATCCCTAAAAAACCCTGAACCCTAAACCCAGCCCTAAACCCAAAAAAACCCTAAACCCTTAAAACCCCTAAGCCCTAAGCCCTGAAAAAACCCTAAACCCTAAAACCCTAAACCCTCAAAACCCCTGAACCCTAAACCCTAAAACCTGGCCCTGAACCCTAAACCCTAAACAACCCTAAACCCTAAACCCTAAAAACCCCGCCCTAAAAGCCCGAAGCCCTACAGCCCAAACCCAAAAAACCCTAAACCCTAAAACCCCCTCAACTTCAAAGCCCGAAAACTCTAAACCCTAAAAACCCCCAGGCCCTGAACCCTAATAAGTCCAAACTGTAAACAAACCTAAACCCTAAATCCTAAAAAGTCCTAACAAACCCATAAACATATGCACGTTTTGCGAGCCGTGTGTTTGCAAATGGGCGGGGGCTGCGCCCCTCCCCCCCCCCCCACCCCCCCACCCCTGTGCGCTTCGCCTTGGCGCTTCGCCCCTTGCACTTCGCCCCTTGCGCGCGCTTGCGCGCTGCAGGGTTGGCAGTCTTGGGTCAACTTGGAAAAGCAGAGCAGAAAAGAAGCAGAGAATTTGTTCACTTAATCAGAGGAGAAGGGAATGCTCTAAATTCCACCCCCCTCGTTTCTTGCTTTTGTTCTTCTGCTCATTTCGAAAATCAGCAGTTCTTGAAGGCCCCTTGTTCAAGCCCCTTCATGTTCCCCTTCAAGAACCCTTTGAAGCGGGTTGTCGTGAAGGGGGGCTTCAAGGGGGGGGCTTTCAGGGGAAGCTTCAAGAAGGTTTCAGGGGGTGGAATTTAGAATAAATCGTTTCTCTCTCTTCTTCAAGAATACAATTGAACCAAAGGGGTGTCACACCTTCAACGCCCTTTAAGCTTCTCTCCATGAAAATAAGCGTATTCCGGGGGAGGGGGAAAAGCCCTTGAGCTCCCTGATCTCTGGACACTGCAATCTATCATTGCAACCCGACGCATCCCGACGTGAACGTTTTCTCAATAGTCCAAATATTGAATGAGCACCCTGAGCTGAGCTGAAAAGTTGGTCACAGTGAGTGACTCAGTGCGGGCCCTGAGTTGGCAAGAGCTCCCATGGTCCTGGCAGTGCAGGCCATCGCCTTGGGACTCAAGAGGAAACGGACACAGCGTGCTTCAAAGTGCAGAAGCGACCTCGAAAGTTCCCAGTGGTTCCGAGAGGCCATCAAGGAATAGGAGGCCATGGAGAGACGAAAACAAGCCAAAGGACCAGAGTCCACCTTGGGCTTCTGCTCTTTGAGGCGTCAAGCAAGGCACAAAGAGCGAGGCAGGGTCTGCATCATCGTTTTTCTTGTGAATGTGTAAGTGTACATTGGGGGGGGGGGGGGGGGGGGCTGTTCTTTTGGGGGATACTAGCAATAAAAGAACCTACTTCACATCAGAACACCCAGAAGAGCAGCAACGTGAAGCAACGGGAAGCAACAACCTCCGCCATTCAGAGCCAGGCCCACAACCTCCTGTACAGAGCAGAAGGTGGTATAGCTGGTGGCCCAATAGATGCAGTAGGGCAGCGTGACCTGCAGAACCGATGAACGGATTGAAGCCGGCCGAAACTTGTCCACAAGTCTTTCAGGGTAGATGGGGGTTGTCTCTGGCGACCTTACAGAAAACGATTGGGGATCTAAAGACTTGTTCATGACGCTGCAGACCTTGCAGCTACAAATGTATGCGCAAAGGTCGGGTGCGATGACGATCGTGCAGGTGTATTACATAGCATCGGTTTTGCCATGCACCGGCGGGGGGGTCCGATGTTCCAGTTGAAGGACGCAGCTGCCACTGTTGCTTGTGACAGCCGCAGAAACTGTCAAGCCTCTGAAATGAGACCTGAAGAACTGGACATTGACCTTACGCATCAGGTTCGAGGCTTCCTCTGCATAACAAGTCGCCTCCCAGCATTCATCCACCGGTCAAAATACAGAGTTCCATCCTAGCTCTACAGAAGACGCTACAAATCGATACATCGTAGCCATTCTTCTAAGGTTGTGCATGAATTGGACGGATAAGATTCGACACAAAGTTGCTTCGATATCAACTGGGACGAACCATGGCCAAGCCCCACGCCTCATTCAAGGCCACGATATGCCGCAGTACATCGTTCACCGCCTCAGAACCGAGAGAAGATTTTACCGAACTTAGAGAGCTTTGGGAAGTCTCCCCCTAAATGCCTACCCCCCTACCTACCCCTACACCCTATTTCCTACACCCCACCCCCTGACCCCCCTACATCCCCCTACCCCTACCCCCCCCACCTCCCCTGCCCCTAATGTGCTCCCTACCTCTTACCCCTACCCTCTACCCGGTCTACCTTGCCGGGAATCTGGGTTCCAAAAGCTTGCAGGTGCAGTGTCATCGACATCCCGGAACCGAAGACATGCACTAAGAGGCCTCAAACGTATCCGGGGTTTGCGCTTGAGGCCCGGCACCGTGGGCTTGTGCATCCGGACCAGGAACAGCAGTCCAACGAGGAAGTATCCAAGCAATGCCTGCTCATGTTTCAAGGCCTGAGTTTGGAAATTTCTCTTGGGGGGTTTGCTTCCCTCTTCTCAGCTAGAACAATTGCAATGCAGCGGCAAAGCGCGTCTGTACATTTGACGTTGCGCTGCTAAGCCGAAGAATCACTCCCGGGCACCGAAAGAGTACACCTACGCCATTGCCCCTGGTTACAAACCCTCCAAACCCTAATCCCTGAAATGGAGCGAAGCGGCTTAGCCGGCACCCATTGCACCCGCACTGAATTGTTCTTGTCAGCTTAGAAACTTACGAACCTGGTTTCCGGCAAACCAGGAGCACAACGTACGCGTGAAATGCAAAGGGGGGATAACCGCACGCCAACCCGATTTGGCCTGGGCCCAAGAGAATTCTCTCCAATAAAGGCTTTCCAGTGTATTCCCTTATTGCCCTCCTCTAATCCCCTCCCTACACAGGACCTGAATGCCTGTCAGGCCGGGCAATTACAAGCTATTTCTTTTGCCTTCCTGGCAGGAAAACCACATGCCATGGAGCCCTCCCAGGCGCACCGAGATCGCAATCGACAGGATGTGCAGCTGAACATTGTCGACACTCTCGGCTTCAATGAAACAGCTTGTGATCGGGAGCCTCAACTTGGACATTGGCTTTATGAAGCTGGGTGGTCATAGGTCCTTGTTCCGAGAATATTGAATATTGGCAGCTTGCTTGGGGCCCACCATGGCCCACCTTTCAAAGAGGGAAGAGACCTGCCTGGAATGTGTTTCAACTCAAAGACATCAGATATGAAGCTCAAGCCTTTTGCCTGTTGCATCCCGACACAAAAGCTGCAGCGACTGCACGCCACAAAGTTACTGTCAAGCAATGCCCAAGACAAACCCTTGTGGACAGTAAACTGGCCGGTGACTCGCCTGATCATGCAAACCACGGAACAGGAAAGGCGTCATCAGGACGTCCGCGACCGGAACCATGGAGGTCAAAGGTAAGTTCTGAGAAGGCAACTTTCCCCACTTGGCCCGAGAATCTTTTCCCTTCCCAATGTTGAAGTGCGCATCACAAATTCATCCGAAGCTTAAGCCGTATGATGCTTCATGATGGCAAGACGCATGATTCTGGAATCGACTCGGCTGGTCCCAACAAACCTACGGCAGCTGTCAAGCCCTGAAAAATGTCACCCCCAGGAACTCTGAGGCCAGCGTCGAAATCCTTGATCACCGTCCGGGAGAGCAGCGCATGGATCTGCAAACTCTGCAATAGCCTTTGTCACTTCCATTGCTCACACATTTCTCTCCAGTTCTCTCCCATTGAAGACTCTGCAAAGGGTCAGCCAGGCTGCGTAAGCACCAAAGGCGCCTAAGATCTCCCGAGCTGCAACATTGTCGAACATGGTGCTATACCATGCTTTTGGTACCAATCTGCAATGCAAATTTCCCACAATGTTTGAACAACAGTGGGCTCCAGCCAAAACCCTCAACCAAATGTATCTTGGAAAATCAGAATGGTGTGGGTCTAGATGCATCGACATGCAGAATTACATCGCAGGCTTGACACGCAACATGCAACAGTGAACGAACGCATGAGCAACACAATGGTATCCTCTGCAGGCCCGATTGAGCTTCATGGAGTTGGCACAAAAACCCATGGTCCTTTCCCGTCGTTTTACAGGGCCCTCCAAGGGTGTACAGAGCCCATCACCCCCCCCCCCCCCCCCCCCCCCCCCCCCCCCCCCCCCCCCCCCCCCCCCCCTCCATTCAAAAAGGTAGAAAGTTAGAAACGTCCCTGCAAACCAAGGGAATCTTCGAAATCCAAACAATTTTCGATCCTGGGGATGGAGCGTGCTTGAAGAAAATAACTTTATTCCTTCGGCCTCCCCCGCATTTGACTTACTTAACGTGTTTAACTCGGAGTGGAAATAGACTAAATAGTTCAAACAACATGAACAGACCAAATTTATGAAAAAGCATTTAAAGCTGAACTAGATCCTGGAGGGGGGCCTGGAGGCCAGCTCCTCTCCCAATACTTTTAAGACGGTGGTCTCACGGAAAATCATGAGGCTCACCTCCGGGCCCGGAGTGGGAGAACCGCAGCCGCCACCCGCACGTGCTTTGGAGAGACGAGTGAATCCGATCAGAGAGCATCACAAAAGGCCTCGGGCGCTCGGGCATGCACTCAACCAGAAACTGAAATGTGGAGGGGCCTGTCACGCATGCGAGCGTCAGAGACGTTGATAGCACCAGGAGGCATCGGGGCAGCCGTGGATCGCGCTGGACATGGCCAGAGGGACAGGAAGGTGCCGGAAGCCCGAGGGCAAGTGCCTAGAAGGCGCCTCTTTGCGAAGAACATTTTCCTGTCCCTTCGGTCAATACCTTCGAGCTGAGCATGGGAACGTACCATTGGATGAGCAGCAATGCTAAAGGTTGTGCACAGTGAGGAGAGGAACACCCGACGAACGTATGGCACGTATGGCAAAGAGGAGGAGCGCTTTTATCGGTCCAAGACGGGCGCAGAGCACTGTAAAAACACCCTGCACGGGTATCGTTGGCTAGCGGCTAGGGTGGCACTAGGGTGGCTCGGCCCGTGCTGGGTGGGCAGTTTTATTGAGGCTTTCGCTGCCAGGCGAAAATGACGGACCTGACTGCCTGCCTGCCAGAGAGGTGGCCCAAAGTCCGTATTGACAACGCTATGGACCCCTGGTGAAGCCGACCTTCTGTGAATTCTGTGACTTAATATCAGAAACAGGCGCCAGCGAACCGCCGATTCGTTGAAACTTTAGGGTAACCAACAGCTACACAAAGACGACCAGTGCAGGACAGTACAAAGGCTGCGATTGTTCTTCATGGTCTGCCATTGTCCACTGCACTCAAAGGCACCTCCAAGCAGCTGGACTCCTCCGCGGAATCGAGGGTGGAGCGGGACAACCTTGGGCATCGAAACTTTTGGCTTAAAGGCTTATAGTGACTTACAGGCTCGCCGAGCTGAAGGGCTGAAGCTTTGTGGGGACTCCACTTCGCCATTCCCACCTGACACCTGAAAGCCAACAACAGAAATCTTTGTGATGGAGATCAGAACGTTCTGAATCATGCAATGAACACACGTCGCATCCTACCGTACGATCACAGTTCAAGCTTGCGGTCGTAGCAGTCCTGCGTGTAGGCCTACTTATCCATTCTGAAACCCATTCAGACTGAGCCCCTCGTTGTCCAGTGGCCATGCAGCCATGAAGAGCTGCAAAGTAGCCTCTGATGGGTCCGACGAACAGTGTCTTAATTGCTCATCCATTATTTCCGCGGAGTGGGTGAAGGGCGAAGGTATACTTTCGGCGCCCCTGTTACAGGAAGAGCCGTTGGATCAAGCGGAAAGATGGTCTGGATGCGCGCAATACTCCGTGGTGGAGAGTAGTGGAGAGTGGAGAGTGTAGACGTCCTTTCAGGCCGATGCAATTTGATCCAACCTCTTGCATATCGTGACTGCCTTGCACTGCTTGCACATCGGCTACTAGTATCTTGCTGTGGAGAAGAAAAGGTGCAATTACGTGCAAGTTTAAGCACAAGGCATCACATGTCATCCCGAACTCTTGAATCAAAACAACACCAAGTATCAACCCTTACTTCGGACCCTTCCAGTGTCGATGTTACTCTCGCCCACATTCCTGCAAACGTTGCTGTCAACTATGCGGACAGAGTGCGATGCCGACACAAACTGCGAGCTGCTGCAGCACGTTGGGGCAAGCCTGTCTTTGTGTGGGAAGCCTAGGAAAATCACTGCCCCCTCGAACTGTGGACATGACGTGCTCAATTCTCCCACGCTACACAAGAGAGACCTACAGACACGACACAACATTTCCCCACGCAACCCTGACGACGTTGTCCTAGCTCCCTTCCCCTTCTGCGCCTCGCAAATCTGCGTAAAATGCCTCAGGCTGAACAGGCACAGCTGGACACTTTGCGATGCTACCGCTAACTAATGTCCACCATGGAATCAGATGCGCCTTGCTGTTCACAAGTCAAGCAACCTATCACCGTGCTTCGTTCCTCAAACTGCGAACTGTCTCAGATGGTATTGGAAAGGACTCCGAAAAGTGGCTCGCCAACGTCTCTTGAGAACCAAAAGCTTGCAGACCTCACCAAAGACCTTACAAAACCGGGTTGGTTGAAGGTGTTCTTGCTCCTTTCATGCTGTGGAAAAATAGCCTGCTCATGGGTCTTTCTCGCGCTTTGTGTATTTCAAACTTAAAGCTCCACCAAAGCTTTACCGGGCCACACGTAGCGAGAGTATCTCGGCTTGCACGATTTGCAGAGGGTGCCTTCATGGCCCTCCAGGCAGACGTTGTCCCCAAGGCCTCGTTGGCACTCTCAAAAAACAAAAACTGTGCCCGCTCGAGGCCACCAAAAGCGAGTTCGGGCCTATATACACATAACATCACATAACCTAGATGGTCACAAGAAAACATTAACAAAAAGAAAAAGTGTGATTAGTATTATACATATATATATATATATATATATAACACACACAGAGATAGATTTTTTAAAGCCCAAAGGCAGATTTCTGGAGGATTGCACCGGCCAATGGTCCACGTTATCTGTGACTTGCTTGCGTCCCAGCCTTGGCAACTGAAAAAGGCCCAGAAAGCAGCATGACTCAGCGTGAGGATTCAAGACTTCGAAAGCTTCAGCAGATCACACAACATCACACAGGCGATAGGCTCTGACTTCAGGCTTGAAGTTCTGAGCGTCGGGCTGGTCAAATCCTTGGGAACATGGACAAATGACACGGGCCCGAGACTCCAAAAAGCATGTGATCCAGACCGAAGAGCTCTCGTTCTTGGCTAGCTTCGACTAGAGCCCGCCATCAAAGGCCAAAGGAAAACCGGGCTGTTTGGATTTGTTTGCACCTGCACACGCAAAAAGTTGATTGCAAAAACAAAGCCCTCTGAGAGCATTCTGCTCTGCTGCTCCAAGGCTCCAAGCATCCCAGATTCTCAAGGCGATGCGGCCAAGGATCGGAAAAAGACGCGATCTGAAGTCCGCCGCCAGGCCGGATCGAGCACGCGAGCTGGGAGCTGAAGACTTCGTGGGTCCTGAATCGTTGGTTTTCATTTCAGTTCAAGGCTCTGTCATGGGATCGCGACTGCGCCGGAAAGAGTAACCCATTTTGCACGCCTTCGGCGTACGTCGACAACCTCCCGCACTGTCTGTCGGAGTCCCAACAAAAGCTAAAAACGATAAACATGTGCTGTTACATATACACATGTATGGATGTACATATATACATAATCGCATATGTACATATGCTCCTAACTCGAGGGCCTGATTTTCAACTCCTAGTCTGGGTCAGGCGTCGCGTCAAGCCCCTCCACCTTATGCACAAACCAGCCTCAGTTTGGGCAAGGCACAGGTCGCAGCACCATCGCTGAATCAAAGAGTATGCCGGTTTTCTAAGCAAGATTCAACGAGCCGAGCAATCCCGAGGATGAGGTTTTTCGGTAAACGTGCTCTTCTGAGATTTTGTGGGGAACCCTGCAGATGAAAAAACCCTGGATTCACCTCTCCACCTTGGGCCCCAAGCAACTGGCAGGGTCTGCTAGCTTGGGAATCATCGACGGCCTGTAGGCCATGACTGTCCACTCCTAAAGCCCTGGGGCCATAGTTCGCCCTTGGCGGCAATGACGCATTGCAGGTGCTCCCCTCCGGGCACCTTGACTGGCAACAGGGCCAAATGACCGGAATGACAGGGAAACACTAGCGGCCACAGCAAGTGTCGGCAGCGGGAGGGGCTATCGGGCATGGTCACGGGCTCATGACAACCTCTGCAAGAACCCGTCCCAACCCCCGATCCGAACCCAAAGAAGACCCCACTCATGCACGTATCGCACGTAGGTCTCCTGGAACCCCAAAGACGAATTTCTATCCGCACGATTTGCAAAGTCGCTCGAAGCATCTGTCGGCCGCCCAGCGGTCCTGGTATTTGTGCTCGGCACACCTGAGTCAAGCTCCCTTCAAAAAAAACACTGTTAAGCGCAACGATGTCCGAAACTTTAAGACTTTCTGACATATGGACATGTTGCGACGGATGCTGCTAAACCCGAGCGGAAAAGCAAAGTGACTGCCCCAAATCTCGAATGTCTTGAAGAGGATGCTCATTGGTGCTTGAGAGGTTTACAATACCAGTCGGGCGTTGTGTCCAACAGTTGTTGGAAGCCCTCTTGCATCTCGTTGCAGCGTGAATGTCCATGCTGGGCATGTCGAAAATGAAACAAAAACGTCCATGCAAGTTGAGGGTTCTTTGGGCATCCTCAAGCAAATGTCCAGCTGAATCGGCGTCAATTGGTGTTTGTTTGGTTCTGACCTTGTACCGCTTACTCACACGCACCCTTGCACTGCAAAGATCTCTCGGAATTCCAGGCGGCTGCTGGCAGCTGCTCCCGGTACGAGCACGAAAGGATCCCGGCGGGCAGGGCTCACATGCCGAGCCCGCTTCCTCAGAGCACAGCAGGGTTCCACACCAGGCCTTTGCTGGCCCTTGGAAGGTAGGACTGAGACCGAGCATACCGACCTGGCCGCCTGGAAAAGCTTCCATAGCTGCGTAGGCCGACTTGACCAGTGTCTACGCAGGGATTCTTTATGGTCAAAGCGGCCAGCATCATCAAGTAGGAACACTGCTGTGAGAAAGGGTTTGCCTGACTGCGCAACCCTGCAGCCCACAGCGCAACTGAGCTCCCAAAGATCCGATGAACGTTTTGCAGGCCGGCGGCAACACAGCCACTCGGACACGGGTATATTTGCCTCAGCAGCAAGGAAGATGAAAGCGTCCAAGCGCATGATGCTTCTTGCCGCACTCAAACGTAAGTATCAAAATGCTAGGTTTGGAGGAGGCGTACATGCACACCTCAAACCCTGAAACCCTAAACCCTGGAATCCCTAAACCCCGAAACCCTGAACCCTAAGCTCAGCTACCCAGATACCCCCGCCACACCGAAATTTGCCAAAGCTGTCGTCTGCTCCGGCTGAGGCTCGTTTCTGCCGTAGCTTCCGAGCTGACGGGAAGGATTGGTTGCGATGGATCAGCGGAACCTGGGGCGTCCATCAAGTAGGCTCGGATTGGTACTGTGGGGCTGCGGCTGCTCAGAGTCTCAGCCCTCAACATGCAATCGACTTTGTGCACTTTGCCGCTGCTTCTTGCACTCTCCATGGGCTTTTGCGGTACCAGCATGAGCTTGACAAACTCTCAGCGCTGGTGACTGGGTGCGGTAAAGCGCAGCTCCTGGACATGTCTGGAGGTCTGCTGCCAGGCGGCGTACCACACCTCGCAGACTTCAACACTACTTTTGTGTCAGTTTGTATCTTGAGACTGGACCACCTGACCAGGAATACCACTACTGGGTAAACAGGAATACTCTTATCACTCGTGTGTCAACCCTGGAACCCAAACAGCGAAGGCTTTATCGATATCAAGATCGCCCATTGATGTCAAGGGGCTGAAGGTGTACCGCGCCATAGCTGCCTGCCAAGACTCGGCTGGGCTGAGACCTCAGCGAATCAGCTAATCCACGAGGCTTCGATTTCGCCGGGTTCAAGGCATTGAAATCGAGGCTTTGATAGGCTGAAGACATGCTCTGGCAGATATACGGGCTCTCGGTCATCGCCCTCCCCACAACGGAGCATGAGTCATTTGACCGAGCGTGACGGAGCGTGACAAGCGGTAGGTTAGCAAAGACAGCAGCCCCTCAAATGGATCTACCTGCAGACTGATGCCGCATTGGCCAGGTTACCGACTGTCATGGTATTCGGATCAGGGATGAACTGTTGCGTCGCCAAATCACGCCTGCCCAGAATGGAACAGGATGGAACACAACGGAAGAGTGGGACAAGCAATCTCTGACTGAGCTCTGTGTACACATTGCGTGTACTGGACTTGTTGTCGGACCTCTGCACAAGTGTGCGCTCGCCGCGTTGATCGAACTTCGTGACAGGCGATAAGAAGGTTCGAAACTGGAGGCCCTCAAGCCTGGGAGAGCGGCTTCGGGGCTTCGGGGCCTCGGGGCCTTGGGGCTTCGGCTGTGGGAGAGGTTTCTCCATGGTCTGGGGTTTTCTCGGGGCCAACTGCTTTGGGTGGCTGCCACCGGCTCAGAGTAGCGGCCAAGCCGCTTGGGCGCCGGTGACTAGCGCCTATCTGAATATTAAACATACCGATGAGATTAGCCGATTTCAACCACAGCTCAGGAACAACAAGCGCTTGGTGTAGCGCCCGAAGTCCGCTTGATCGAAGCTCTGCAGCCGAGTCCTTGAGTCTCAGAGTTTGGAGCTCATTTTTTGCCGGCCAGATTTGGGGGTCGCTTCGAGCGGATTTCTGCTTAGGGATCCCTCCGCCGCGAGACTCTGAAAAGACTCTCTGCCTCAAGACTCTCGGGATCCGACAAGCTGCGACACAAAGTCCAGACCAACGAAATCGAGGACCTGCCAGGCCTGAGTCTGTGAATGCTTGTTATCTCCACGCACTTCCAACTGCTTCTCAGCCAGCATGTACTGCGGGTGCTGAAGAGAGGCTGCCAAGAAGCAGCAAGACAAGAAAGGCAAAGATGTGCCGGGAACACTCCATTGAGGCAGGCAGCCGACATCAGGAACAGCAGGTGGGGCGAGAAACTGCCATGCTGCGTCAGCTCCTGCGATGGGGACACGGAGGTCATGGCAGGCTAGAATTGGCGGGGCGTGGGTTGGCATGGCTTTGGGTGAGCTATTTTGGGGATCGAGCTCCGAACACATCACAGTGTGAGGCATACGGGGCGATTATCTTCAGATAGCCACCCGAAACACAGAAACCCTACCCTAGAATCAACACAAGACTTGCAAAGTCTTGCATCCGACAACATCCAATCTATGAACCTGTGAAGGCAGCTGAGCAGATTCCTTGTTGCGTAGCGTCTGGTAGTCCTCCTGCCAGCTGGCGAGGACCTCATGTTGTCATTGTGCCGACTACGACATGCCCCCGACGTTCATCCCACCACTTCCATTCACGTACATCAGTACATCTCCAACCATCTCCGGACAGCGGGAAGAACATCCAAGCCCCTACTTCACACCACAAAGAGCTCACCCTCCGGACAAACGGTTAGATGGGTCATGACAGGTCACGCGGAATGCGTTGGCCGCGGGAACGCCCATCTTGATCAGCTCGCTCCTGGGCTTCTTGAGGGCTTCTCGGCTTCAGGTCTCCAACCCAGCCAAATTCCAGCAGGAAACCGCGACATCAACATGGACGAATTCGTTGCAGGGCAAAAGAACCGTTTTGCGCGACATATTGCGACAACCAACGGCGAGGCTCGTGGTTGGCCAGGGCCGAGGTTCCAGGAATGCATACTTCAAGGCGCTGCCTCCTGAGCATGAAGAAGGCTTGTGCAGGTCTTCTTTACTTCACCGAAGGGAAAACCTCATTTCCTTGAGCAGCAAAATCTGATAGATAGGTTCGGGACTGAGGGCTTGCCCACCCCAGATTGGCTACGCATGCACAAGCGCATGGAACAGACAAAGATGTGAGCAAACATAGACAAGAGCAGGAGACGGTCGCGAATAGAGATCATGGTAAGAACATTCATCAACTTCGCAAAGTACTGCATGTATCTTGTCTAGGCGCACATGCTCAGCCTCTCACCCCCCCCCCCATCCCCACCACAGGAAAGCTCTATTGCCCCTTTATTGTCGTCATAACATTCAATACAGGTCTCTTCCCGTGCTGTGATAGGAAACCCTCTATATGTTGAATGGAACGCATCTATTTCCCCTCTGAGTTGATTGAAAACTGAAAAACACACTTGCTGTGCATATGCATTCGCGCTCCACATGCTCACCCCGCAACCCTATCCCCACCCCCACCCAGCCCCCAACTCCCCAACCTCCCAACCTCCCCGCATACCAGATCAAAGCCCCCTTGAGAGGCAAGCCCAAACCCTGCAACCCTGAACCCCACTAACCCAAATACCCAAATACCCTCAACGCTGACGCTGATGCCAAACCCTAAACTCTCAAAACCATAAACACCACACCCCTCACGGGACGGAGGTGGGGTACACCCCACCCGAAACCCTGAGCCCTTCAGGCCCCTCGCTGTAGGTAAGAAGCTAAGAGTCAATTAGAACCTTGTTGGAACGGCTTTACAAGTGAGGGTTGCGAGTAGTCTTCATGTTAGCGTTATCTATGCAGCATTGCACTTGAAGCCTTGTGCCTTACTCTTGTCAAAGAAGCCCCTCATCGCACTACTTATGCCACCTCCCGTTCTTACTCACCGACCAAACACGCCCCCCATACTTTTGTTGAAGTCCTGTTCCAGCCCTGGTAACAAGATGAGGCTAATTTGCTTTGTGTTTGATGTATTGTTGGTTCTGCTTCTTGGGTGTGGCTGCTCTTGTGATAGGAGTTTGCTCGGGTTCTGCTTGGCCTCGATCTACACGAGCATCGCGTACAACAAAGTGAGAAGGCACGAGAAGCACAAGAGCATCTCCATGAGACCAGCAAGGATACTGCCAGCCAGATGCGCGTGGCGATCGTTCAAAGAGATAGACCAGAGCAGGATGGCCCAAGCGATTATGTGTGTGAAGCGCATTTAGTTCGATTCGAGGGTCTGTTCTGGCTCATTGAAAGCGATAGAAAAGCCATGAGGGGTTTTCAGTTGCGAGGGCCTTTAGGCACAAAAACCAAGAAGTGAGTAACCTCAACCTCAATTACTAGTCAATTACCCATACATTCCCCTAGCACTCCCTCAGGCTCACTTGTGTGCCCCAAAGTTCTCTGTGGCAACACGCCAAGAAGTCGCAGTGACTTCCGTATCTGGGCTCGAAATTTTCCAAGCAGAAACAAATGATCTGAGGCTAGGCGAAAGTTTCCTTGGTACGAGTGTTGTATTGCGTTTGCTGTTAGATGGCTTTCGTGACTGACGCGCTGTAAATGCAAGCATAAACATAAGCAAGATCATGACTGACACCGTAGGGAGACTAATGTTTTGTGAGCAGTCGCATTCCCAAATCCCCATCTCCAGCAAGAAAAGTAAGTCCAGCCAGTGCGACAAATACTAGCCCAGAGATTGGGCATCTCTGTCGGAAAGGATGCAGATTGGCCAGTCTAAGCCTGCCGACTGGTGTAGGAATATGCGAGAGCTGGCTAAGCCTTATGTGACGTCTTTGGGTTTCCAGTCCTGTGCCGGTTGCTTCAATCAACCGCGAATCGTACGTCGCCCAGGAAATCACCTAAGTCTTGGGGCGCTGCGCTGGGCGAAACCCAGCTGCAACTTCGGTCCCTCAACTAACAGTTACAAACAGGCTGCGGTATGTCCATTCACAAAATCACAAAAAAAGGCCCGTTCAACTGCCCAAGGCCATCGGCCAGGCCCCGCACGGAGCGGAGTCTCATTTGCTTCGCTTGCATGAAGAAGAAGCTGCCTGCGATCACCCCCACAAACAAACCAAAGGCTCTGCACAACAAGTCTAAAATCTTCATGCTTCCTTTTGCAATCCCAGCAACTCACATAGAAAGAGAGCGTGCTGCATACCAGGACGACCTGCACTTTGCTTGAGAGGCAATTTGGTGATAACACGTTGAAGACCTCTGACGTAAAACCAGCCCAAACCAACTTCTGCCAACGCTAAACATGAAAAAAACAAACTTTCAACATTGCAGAAAAGCTAGATGCTGAAACCAAATCACTGTCCGTAAGGAGTACAGCGCAAACGCTCATACTTTCCACCCACGCAACTGGCAGTCGTGTGAAGTGACGGTGGTTTGAAATCCTTCTTGAACTCGGAGCATACAAGCTCCCGCGAATGCGTTTGTTGTGACTACTCAGCGGTCTGGGATAATTAATCGGTGCAAGGCACTGGCGAGCTGGCGAGCTGACATGCTGGCAAGCTGGCAAGCGGGCGTGCGGGTGTGCGGGCGTGCGGGCAAGCGGGCAAGCGGGCGGGCGGGCATGCTCTCTGTGCGTGTCTGTGCGTGTCTCTGTCTGTGTGTGTGTGTGCGCGGGTGTGTGTGTGTGTGTGTGTGTGTGTGTCTCTGTGTGTGTGTGTGTGTGGGTGGGTGCGTGCGTGCGTGCGTGCGTGCGCGGGCGCGTGTGTGTGTGTGTGTGTGTGTTGTGTGTGTGTTTGTTGTGTGTGTGTTTGTTGTGTGTGTTGTGTGTGTGTTTGTTGTGTGTTGTGTGTTGTGTGTTGTGTGTTGTGTGTTGTGTGTTGTGTGTTGTGTGTTGTGTGTTGTGTGTTGTGTGTTGTGTGTTGTGTGTGGTGTGTGTGTGTGTGTGTGTGGTGTGTGTGGTGTGTGTGGTGTGTGTGTGTGTGTGTTGGTGTGTGTTGGTGTGTGTTGGTGTGTGTTGGTGTGTGTTGGTGTGTGTTGGTGTGTGTTGTGGTGTGTTGGTGTGTGTTGGTGTGTGTTGGTGTGTGTTGGTGTGTGTTGGTGTGTGTTGGTGTGTGTTGGTGTGTGTTGGTGTGTGTTGGTGTGTGTGGGTGTGTGTTGGTGTGTGTTGGTGTGTGTGGGTGTGTGTTGGTGTGTGTTGGTGTGTGTTGGTGTGTGTTGGTGTGTGTGTCGGTGTGTGGTGTGTGTGTGTGTTTTGGTGGTGTGGGGTGTTGTGTGTTGTGGTGTTGGTGGTGTGGTGTGTGTGTGTGTGGGTGATGTGGTGTGTGTGTGTGTGTGTTTGTGTGTGGGTGTGTGTGTGTGTTGGGTGTGTGGTGTTGTGTGTTTGTTGGGTGAGTGAGTGAGTGTGTGGAGTGAAGTGAGTGATTGAACGTTGAGTGGTGTGTGTGTGTGGTGTGGTGATGGTGTGTGTGTGTGGAGTGTGAGGTTGTGTGTGTGTGTGTGTGGGTGTTGTTGTGGTGTGTGTTTTTGTGGGTGTGCGTGTGTGTTTGTGTATGTGTGTGTGTGTGTGTGTGTGTGTGTGTGTTTGGTGTGTGTGTGTGTGTCTCTGTGTCTGTGTGTGTGTGTTGTGGCTCTGTGTCTCTGTGTGTGTGTGTGTGTTGTGTGTGTGGGTGTGTGTTGGTGTGGTGTGTGTGGTTGTGTGTTGTGTGTGTGTGAGGTGTGTGTGCGCGTGTTTGCGCGTGTTTGCGCGTGTTTGCGCGTGTTTGCGCGTTTCTGCGCGTGTTTGCGCGTGTTTGTGCGTGTTTCGTGTTTGCGTGTTTGTGCGTGTTTGTGCGTGTTTGTGCGTGTTTGTGCGTGTTTGTGCGTGTTTGTGCGTGTTTGTGCGTGTTTGTGCGTGTTTGTGCGTGTTTCTGCGTGTTTGTGCGTGTTTGTGCGTGTTTGTGCGTGTTTGTGCGTGTTTGTGCGTGTGTCTGCGTGTGTCTGCGTGTTTCTGCGTGCTTGTGCGTGCTTGTGCGTTGCTTGTGCGTGCTGTGCCTGTGCGTGTTTGTGCGCGTGTTTGTGCGCGTGTGTTTGTGCGGTGCGTGTCGTGGCGGGTTTGTGCGTGATTGTCGTGGTGCGTGTTTGTGCGTGTTTGTGCGTGTTTGTGCGTGTTTGTGCGTGTCTGTGCGCGTGTTTGTGCGCGTGTTTGTGCGTGTGTTTGTGCGTGTGCGTGTGCGTGTGCGTGTGCGTGTGTTTGTGCGTGTGCGTGTGCGTGTGTTTGTGCGTGTGCGTGTGCGTGTGCGTGTGCGCGTGCGTGTGCGCGTGCGCGTGCGCGTGCGCGTGTGTGTGTGGGTGTGTGTGTGTGTGTGTGTGTGTGTGTGTGTGTGTGTGTGTGTGGGTGTGTGTGTGTGTGTGTGTGTGTGTGCGTGTGTGTGTGTGTGTGTAGATGCGCCGGTCTGCGTGTGTCTGCGCGTCTGTGCCTGTCTGTGCGTGGCTGCGCGTGTCTGTACGTGCACCATGTCTATCTAGTGTCTGCGCGTGCCTCAGCGTGTCTGTGCGTGTCTGTGCGTGTCTGCATGTGTGCGTGCGTACCTGCACGTGTCTGTCCGTGTCTGTGCGTGTCTGTGCGTGTCTGTGCGTGTCTGTGCGTGTCTGTGCGTGTCTGCGTGTGTGCGCGTGTACCTGCACGTGTCTGTGTGTGTCTGTGAGTGCGTGAGTGCGTGAGTGCGTGCGTGCGTGCCTGCGTGAGTGCGTTGTGTGTGTGTGTGGAGAGAGAGGGAGGGGCGGGAGGGGCGGTTGTTCTGGTTTTTAGGAAACCGTTCTGTAGCTTCGTCTCGTGTTCAGTCAATTCACTTCTAGGGGCATCTGCCTTCCACCCCATGATTCGGAAAACAACCCGAGCAACCTGAAGCCTGGAACCTCCGTCATTCAATGCCTAGACCGCCCACGCAGGCCCCTCAACAATGCATGGTGTTTTCATGGGTTCTTCGTGCACACAAAGGTACAGACGGACTCTGTGCAGCGCCAAAAGCAGCGAGTCGCGTCAAGGCCATTCCCAGATCCGTCTCCTTCAAGGGCTGAGACGAATCGCTTGCCGACTACAACGTGGGAAAGTACGACCGACTAAGTGCAACCTGAAGCGGTCCCCCTCCCTGCCTATTTCCTCATGCAAACAGTGCACATCTCTACCTGTGGCTAGAGACAGTTCATGTGCTTGCTGAGCACGCGGCCGCTACGATGACCGGCTGCGTGGTCGTCTCGTAGCGGAGAACCGTCATCGCGTAATGCATGTACGATATACCTAGACAGTGAAGACTTTCAAGGAACAACAAACAAGTGTGTTGTGCCGCAGCCCACACTTGCGTTCTCCATAGCAGCTCAACGTGCTGCTGGGAACGCTGCACGAAGTTTTGTACCTGTAGCCTTCTTCCTCCCTTTTCACTGCCCAAGCTGAGGTCGTTGCTCTCTTACCACACACAAAGCCGGAGGAGCCCTTCAACACCAGCGTCCACATGCAGGAGAGCCAATGAGTAGCTGGGAAAGCGGGTGACCACGGAGTCGGGCAAGCGAGCCGAAAACAGGATGGACCGAGTCCGAGCCACTTCAGGCCAAATCGTGCGTCCCCAGGTCAAACCCCGAAATCCTAAACTTCTGGAGAATGGGACGCGCTGGTGAAGTTGTTTTTCGAGCCTTCCCGAAGATTCCATGGAGTTCTATGGCTAGGGGGAATATTGTTTGGCCATAGGAAATGATTCTCAACAAGCGTCTTTCCCTTGGCCAGGCCTGTCCAAAAAATAGAGCCACAAAAAGCCTGGATCTATGTACGTTTACCGTTTACCTGTGAGACAAACATGTCCAAAGGGGAAAAAATGCCAAAGCTATTTAGAGTAGCCTCGAAACTCACAACTCAAAACGCTTTCAACCCAAGACTTGCGAACGATTATGTCGAGATATGCAAATTTACAAAAGTTGTCGTTTTGAAGAAGGAAGATGTAAACAAAACTCCTTCCTGTGGGAAGCTTATCAGCGACACCCAGCTCCCGACCAAAGAGCCCGGAGCACCAAAATCCAAACTTTTCCTCGGGCTCTTTCATCACTTGCCATTCAATTACATGCAGAGGGCTTTTTCCAGGGCTCAAAGATGGGACGGAGGTAAAAGACTGTTATTCATGGCGGTTATCTTCATCATCCAAGAGCCGGACCACGAAAACCAAAAGATAGGAAAGTTATTCCTGATCCAATAGATGACAGGGAATTCCAAAAGTTAAAGAAATCTGGAAAGGAGTGGATTCTTCTTGGCATGACATTCATCCTAAGAAACGCAGCGGGAAAAAGGGATCTAAACGTAGACAGAACAAGAAAGTGCACTGGAGGATGAAAGTCATCATAAGCTCTTCTCGTACCTACAATCTTTTCTCCATTAACATTTATTCCAGGGAACATGGAGAATATCCTCGTAAAGAAGGAGCAACATGAAACCATACCGCAATATGTTTCACGTCGGAAACCTGTTTGAAGGGACCGGGGACCAGAGGGGCCCTAGTCGGTCGCACGCCGAGTCAGTCACCCCTAAACCCTAAATCCAAAACCTAAGCCATCACCCTGCACCCTAAAGCCCAAACCCTAAACACCTTATCCCTCAGCGCCAAGCAGGTGTCGGATAGTCGACACCGTGCCATGTGCGGTCCCCCGACTCTGCATGAGACTCTGACACCGCACAGCCGAACGGATCATCCCGTGTCTGACTCCGTCTACGCCAGTAACACGAAGCAGTGGCTGACACGAGGTTGCCCCTAGCCCTAGGCCCCCCCCAGGCAGCATTTCCAGGACATATTCCTGCAGAGCCACTTATAGCAAACATTAATAATAGACGACCAACACAGAGATGTGACAAGAAGACAGAACGAATTCTAAGGTGTAATAACGGCGGGGATTTGCAAGATATGCAAAAGCCAAACCCGAAATCCAGTACTTCTAAAACTGCCCCCCCACCCTGCTCATCAAACGCACACACTGGCATCATTATGATCAGACCACCACCACCACCACCACCACCAGATCCACCACCACAACCACCATCGCAACCTCCACCACCACCACCACCGCCGCCGCCACCGCCACCGCCACCGCCACCACCACCACCACCACCACCACCCCAAACCCAACCCACCCGCACACACCACCTGCACACACCCACCGACACCACCGACCCACACCACCGACCCACACCGCCCGCCCGCACCACCACTCACACCAAAACCCACTCCTACGCAGCCACCAACACCCACACCAACACCTCCACCGAAAACACCCACACGCCGCCAACACAACGCCCTGCCACTACCGCCACCTCCACCACCACCTCTGCCACAACCCATATGCAGCAAAGCAAGCTTCGGATCTGGAAATCCAAGACTCTGGGGACAGCTTTTGTGAAAAGAGTCTGCCTGCAAAACCTGCCACGATCGGATAAACATGTTGCAAATTGACAAACTTCAAAACATGGAAGATGGGCTGAACGATCGCACGATATCGCATGTGCCCGAACACAAACCCATGCGCTTCTCTTGAAAAGGCTCTGAGGTCCACCGAAACAGAGACACCGAGGTGATCCGAGATGCAGAGGTCCGTGAAGAATCTCGAAGCATCCGCCTCCGCGATGCACAGGAGCTTGTTGCCCTCGTCCTCCTCCAAAGAACCAAAGGCGAAGAGAAGGCAGGCTCTGAAATTTCGGGGCCATGTTCGGGCTCCATTTTCTGATGCTCTGGGTTTCGGGAACCTTCACGTTTCTTCACGAGATTCAGAGGTGGCGCGAAGAACAACAACAGAACCAAAGGGCCTGAATATTGAAAACTGTGCAAACCCCAAGCGCTTCGCTAAGTCTCCAACTCCCCACTTTAGTGCCCCTTAAGACCACATTGAAGAAGAAGCCTTGAGCTGGTGCAGCAAGTCCATGGCCCAAACTTCCACCGGGGGCCTTGGTCTTCAGATTGCAGCTTGCGACACTTTGTGCATCTTTGTGCACCTTCCAATGCGTCAATGCACCGTACTGGATGTGCGGATCTTTGGCACTGCCCCAAGTACTTCCAGCGCATGCCAACACAGGCCACCCGACACATTCCCATTATTAACTCTGCATTCCCCGGCGCAGCAGGTCAAAGACGCCGATGAACTCCGACCGACTCAAGAAGCCCACTGGCGCAGTTGCCTCAACGCCGGCTGAGGCCAGTATGCTCTGCGAGACGGAGGGGGTTCGGAGCTTCAGTGGCAATCTGAATGCCAGATCCTAACACTGCGTATTGGACTGGCCGAGAACGGCTGAGGCGCGAAGAATCGAAAAACGCAGAGCGGAGAATCGGAAAACGCCAGGCACGAATCAAACACTGTGCGGTGCTGAATCGCCGAACAGGGGCGGCTGAATCAGAAAAGGAAAGCTCGACGCGGACACGTCCTGCCGCAGTAGCCACTTTTAGAAAACATTGGTCATTAGGTCGCGCCAAACACACCAAATCAGAAACATGGAAAGTTCCAAAAACCTCGGAAGCTCGAAGTCTATTTTGCGCCGCAAAAACCACGCCGTGTCTAAAAGAGGAAACTAGAAAGTTTGGGCATTAGATCGCCCCAGAAAGACCAAATCAGAAAACACGGAAATCTCCAAATCAGCGCTGCGGAAGCTCGAAACGGACCCTCCCTCAAAGCCCATTCTGCGCCGCAGCAGCCACGCCGTGTCTAAAAGAGGAAACTAGAAAGTTTGGTCATTAGGTTGTGCCGGAAAGACTACATCAGAGAACACGGAAAGCTCCAAATCAGCACCGCGGAAGGCCGAAACGGACCCTGCAGAAAGCCACGCCCCCTCACCCTAAAACCCGAAGCCCGAAACCCGAAAAACCTCACAAGCCTAAAACACCCTAAAACCTAAACCCTAACAAAACCCTAAACCCTAAACCCTAAAAACCCCTAAACCCTAAACCCTGAAAACCCCTAAACCCTAAATCCTAAACCCTAACATAACCCTAAGCCCTAAACCTAAAACAACTCTAAACCCTAAACCCTGAAAACCCCTAAACCCCCAAAGACCCCTAAACCTATACCCTAAACTCTAAATAACCCTAAACCCTAAACCATAAAAAGCCCTGAGCCCTAAACCCTAAAAACTCCTAAACCCTAAACCCTAAAGCCTAAACCCTAAACCCTGAAAACCCCTGAACCCTAAACCCTAAAAAACCCAAAGCCCTAAACCCTAAAAACCATTGACATAAGAATATACATCGAGAAGGCATAGGGGTCTCTTTCCGAATAGGGTCCATTCTGAGGGTAGAATGGGTCTATGCGGCGTAAGGGGGGTAGTATAAGTAGGGAGAGTGTCTATGCATAGGGGTCTGTGGAAAATGGAAGACCCCCATGTATAGGGGTCGATATGAGAGTCGGCAGGGCCTATGCATAGGGATCTGGCATGTAGACAGTAGGTTGACAGCATAGGTACCTAGCTAAAACTCATAGGGTCTATGTAGCGGTCTATCGACGCCTATGATAAACAGCTACTTGCCAGACCTATCTTCGAGTAAGAGTTCGATAAGTAAACCCTGAACCCTACAAGCCCCTGAGCCCTAAACCCCAAAACGCCCTGAACTCTAAACACCCCTAACAAAACCGTAAACCCTAAAAACCCCCTAAACCCTAAACCCTAAAACCTTGCAACCCCTGAGCCCTAAACCCACCAAACCCTGAAAACCCCTAATCCCTGAACCCTAAACGCCCCAAACCCTCAAAACCCTTAAGCCTATACCCTAAACCCTAAATAACCCTAAACCCTAAACCATAAAAATCCTGAGCCCTAAACCCTAAAAACCCCTAATCGCGTCGCGCTTTGCCGCAAAAGCTTCAGAGTTTTCAGGGTTTCAGGCAAAGGGTTGGAGGGAAAGCAGATCTACGACTGTGAACACAGTTTTCGAAGGCGCCCAGCACGCGTCATGCTGGAGCCTGGCGTTTTCACATTCAGCCCTGCCCTGCGTCAAGTTGGCTCCCGCTCTCTTGAATACGCCTAGTATGGGTCAGGTTTGAGGCTCGTGTTCCCTGATGTGGCCCCCCGGCGTCCATTTGGCTCCAGGTGGTTTGTCGATTGCAGCCTGGGGTTCTCCGATTGGAGCCTGCCCGTTTTCGGATTCACGTTGGGTCGATTTGGGCCCCCCGTTTTCCGATTCACGCTCCCTCCACTCCCGTGAGAACAATTCTGATCAAGCCCTCCAGCCAAGCTACTTGTTGCACGCAGCAAGCCGCAATATCCAATGGCGAAGAATCGTCGCAAGACCTTGGCTTGTCAACGACTGTATGTTCGGCGATGGCTCAAAAAAGGATCAAGATGCAAATGCAAGGCGAGGAAGAAGCTATGGCATTGGATGCAAGATCCTTTCAAACCAGGAATATACGCACCCAGAAAACGCGATGGGAACCCTTCAAGCATCGGCCGCCAAACAAGTTCATTTCAGGGACGGCGTGGTGCAGTGGGCGTCGCCTGTCCGCCTGCTGTACGATGAGGGACACGTAAAAGCCTTGACTCCCCGCAGCATGCCGCCAAGCAAACGGTTTCACCACGAACTGGTTGAGGAGCTAATCATGTAGGTCAAGGTATGTTTCTGAGGCTGCGGTGGGCCCTGTATTACCCAGACTTGATGGTTGAACTGGTGGCACCGGCTTCGGTGCCGCGTCGAGCTGGCTGCTGAGGAGCAGAGCAGTTCTGGCGGGCGCAAATATACCACTGGGCCGCCGCAAGAAATGGAAGATCGAAAGTAACCTCGGCTTTCTGTCTGGTACGTGCACTAAGCCTGATGCTTTTAAACATTTTATGCACACGTGCCGCTCCTGGCCACACAATTGAAGTGCCGCCCCAGGGCCCACAAAGTTTACTTCGCGGTGTGACCTTTCGATCTGCACGAGCGCAACTTAAGGGACGAACCCAGGCCAACGAAAGCTCTGGGACTGCGCGGCTTGTTCAACTGGCTTGTGTCCTCCTGATGGTTTTTCAGTATCTCACTTGACACAGGGTGTAGGTTCTCGAAGCTGGTCTAACGACAAGGGCCTTGTTTGATCCGTTGCTCGTTGCAGCAGGTATAAGTCATAATGTCAAAACGTTTTCCGCACTTCTTGCAAGGCCACTAGCTTCCTGAAATGGATTCGACAAAGCTCCCGAGAATCGAATATACACAGCAAAGACGACGCTAGCCAGAATACCTGGCACAAGTCAACCATGACCGTTCAAAGCCATGACAAGCGCCGCAGACCCAGCCACCATCACACGCAAGAGTCATCCCATGAATCATATGGCATCTCACAACGGCACACGGCAAAAAGTGACAAAGCTCCCAACAAGTCGGCCAGGGAGCCACTGCTCCATCTGAGAGCACATCAGTGTTCAATGAATTTGGCGAGATGCTACGTCCTTGTACGATGAACTCCTGACCAAATGCGGAAAGTTGTGTTGCGCACAGTTCACCCACCAAACAACAACAAGAAGAGGTGCAGCAATTACTCACTTGATCCATCTTGATGCTGACAGGCATATCCAACTTGTTCTGGACAATAAGAACGATTCTCTCAAAGCCATGCACACCAATGTCCAAGCAGCTTACTTTCATGACTCACAAAGTCCTTTCCCGGAACAGAAAAACATCGTGGTATGCCATGGGTCAGGCTCGCGAAACTCATCGTCCACGGCTAACCAGATGCTTACGGGGAGCGAAGACCTGCGAGAGCTCAGGGAAGAGAGCATGGCAATTGCATCATCTCAACACTACCCCCAAAAGGTGTGACGTGTCTCCGGATTTTCGCCCCCTTTGTTTGTCGAGGGCAAGGCAAAGTGCAGAACGCCTTTGTCTAGAAAGGCTGGGGGCGTTCCATTTGCACCTAGCATTTTCATTACAAGTGCACGGTGGGTGGAGAAGGCATCCCAGCCCCACCAATCGGAGGTACCCATCCCCCAGGTACCCATCCCCCATCCCTGAACGCAAACCGAGCCGAACGTTCTGGACTCATGTTCCTAGCTGGACAAGGAGACTCGAGCCCTCAGCAACCCACCATCACCCGCATCTGAGCTATTAATTAGTTAAAGGGCCCAATTAAATCTTAAATCCTATTCTCATATAATTAATACTAACTTTGTATCCTCAAGGACCCACTTTATCATTGCCCAAAACGTGAGAAATTTTTAATTTGTGACATTAAGAGTGTAAAAAGCCCCACATAATATGGCAAGTTTTACGGGGATCTTTACCGTACAATTAAAAATCGCAAAATCTGTGAGGATACAAATGAAAGAAATGAACGATAAGATTTCGAAAATCGGAAACGAACTTGCTCCTTTAACATGTCCTCTAGATCGATGAAATTCAAATAAAGTCCAGTTGGCTCTGAGATCTGTGGGAGGCAACCACCCCAAAGCCATGCGCACAGTACTAAACACCGCAAAGCTGAGGGTCTGATGAAACATAAGACATGCTGAGGATGTAGGCACACAAGCCCAACCCCTGCTACTTTGGCACGACTTGCCTATTGCAAGGTCAACTTAAACCTACCACTGTAGCACCTTTCCTGTCCATTCGACATCGAAAAAACACGCCTAGCGAGACCGGCAAGAAAGAATTCTGCCGACAGTATGTGCAACTGCAAAGCAGAAGACACACACTCGTCGTAGACATCACAAAATATTACAAAGAGCACGGAGAGCAGCAAAAACAATCGGGTGAAACACGGGAGTGCAGTCGACACGGTGTTGGGATGTGTTCGGATTCGCACCTGCCCAGAGAGAGATTCAAAGCCAGAGAGTGTTCCACCGTGCCGTTGGACTCACCACGGAGGCACGCATCGTCCCAATCACCCGTCCTGTGTTCGGCTTTGCAGTGCCCTTCCAACGTCTAGACCCTCCAGGCTCAGGGGTTTCGGGATACTAGGAAGCCCGACCTGCAACTCAGGGTGCATCTTCAATGCCTGGCTGTCAACCACTTCCTGCTGCATCTTCATCCAGAAGTATCAAACCCGAGGGCGTCCTCTTGTCGCACTTCCTAGCAGCCACAACTCACACATCCCCCCCAAAGCGACCCAGGCCACCCTGAGACTGACATTCCCTTGACAAGCCAAAGTTCCAGAATCCCCCAAGACTCAAAGCACGGGGGGAAATGCAGCTCAGTCGCAGCAGCGCATCGGAAGGAGTCCACCGGCCCGACACAGCCAGACCGCCGTCAGGTTTGCAGCAATAGTCCTTAGGCACCGAGAAGGAATGGAGAAAGGCTCTTAAAGGGAGAGAAGACTCTCTCTCTCTCAGCGCTGCGGCTTGTTAACGTAGAAAGAGAACTAAGTGAACAATCGTGTGCTGCATGTGCTCTGTTGTGGGGCTGCAATCGCCAGGTGGCAAGATCTCGCTCCGGCTGACAGGGGCCCTCACAGTTCAGAAACTCGGCCCCCTGGCGGAGGTAGGAGCCTCCAAATACAAGGGTGCACAGAAGGACCATCTTTGGGAACAGGACTCAGTTGACTCAGCTAATGAACAGTAGCCTGCACCAAATCAAAAAAACAACTTGTCAAGAAAACTCTCGGGTTCGCGATGAAACGACGTCTACTGAGTCTATTGTTTGCTGGTGGCGATGGCAGCCAGGATTAACTGCAATTGTACTGTAGAGGGCCTGGCGCCCTGGCACGAGCCAGAGCTTTGGCAAGAAACAAATGACCCATCATCAGCCAACAAGATCCAGAAAGCATGCGAAAAGGTTCCTCAGGCTGCCCTGGGCCACCCTGCGGCGCAGCCCTCAAACCTGCAAACGAATCCGACAAACCTGGAGCCTGATGGGACCGAGAAGTTGTTGGCGCAGGTGTACCCGGTGGAGTCTTGGAAGTAGCGCGCAAGATCTGCAGCTGCGTAGATTTGCTACCAAAGGTTGACACAATAACCCCGTACTTAGGAAAGCCGAAGCTCGCAAAGAACAAGCCATGTACTGGGGGGAAGCCTTTGCCCACAACAGGGAACAGCCTTCTTCAAACGAGAACCTAGTCAAGTCTGTACAAGTAATTGGAACCTACGGGGCTTGCAGCGTCCGCACTGCCAGCCGCAACAGTCGTGGATTGCGTGCTTCGTTCTTCAACTTGCAAACCAAGCTACGACGCCACAAAAGAGGGGGGGCCGTAGGCAGCGGAGTGACCCCAAAATCCGGAGGCCTTTATGCACGTCGCGGCCGTTTTGGTGGCGTCATAGCTTTGCTTGCAAGTGCAAGCGCGCTCGCTGCAGGCCCCGGAGGTTCCGGTTACAAACCCTTCAATACACCCGGAACCCATAGCCCGAAGCTGCCCTAAAGCCTGTCTTTCCCGACCTCCACCTGGCCTTCAACAGAAGGGCTACGGCACTTCCCTTTTTGGAGGCCTAGGTGTTTGCTGGGGCATTTTCACTGTTGCTTGGCCCTGTTTTGTCCCCAGCCCAACCCCATCTTTGAAAAAGTAGTCTTGCGGCAAGTTAAGCTTGCGTGCGCATTGTCAGACCTGAAACCTAAGTAGTACAGCCTCTGAGGTCTTTCAGTTCAAGAGGGTTTGCCTTTGCCGACCATATGCACTGCAACGCAGCAAACAGATCGAACAATAACTGCACAACCGCTCCCCCACCCACCTAATAATCTAAGCTAGAGTTGCACCAGACGTCCCAGCGTCCTTGTTGTTCAGCAGCTCCAGTGCTATCAGCAGAGGAGCTGCGGTTCGTCAGCTCCTGGCTGGTTCGCACTGATTCCAAACCTGAGGTGTGGGTTATCGGGAACTAATGAGAGAACAAGTGAGAAATGTTCAGAAACATGTGTGAGAACATGTCCTGGAAAAACTGCAGCGGTTGGCGCTCTTCGCCAGCGATGCTGGACAGCCTCAGCATGCCCAAGCTGTTCTGGACCAGACGGATGAGTTTGGATTGCGGCAGGCTAGGACACCCATCCTTGTGCTCTGATTTTGAAGAGCGACTCTTCTGGCAGCGACCACAGAAGCATGGGTATCCTCGGGCCCAAAAGCACAAGAACGCGCAGCAACACCTGGAAAATCGAACAGACCATTTACCCGTCATCAACTGGAGCTATGCTCCCATCTGCCAAGGGGCTGGTACTCGTTGGAGACCTGTGCCTGTGCTTATGCCCCTTCTTCCGCGTCTGGCATGTGGGGGCCATGTTACACTTTGTCATGCACATTCCCCTTTCGTTCTTTGGGGCTTGGGGGTTGCTTTCTCCAAGGGTTACTCTTTCCTGACTATTTCCTGACTCTTCATTTTCTGTATCCCTGAGTCTGCGTTCCGGGGCCCCGGCAGCGGCTTGGCGAAACTGGAAGGTGCCCGGGCCGAGCAGCAGGTCCATGGCGCCGCTGTTGTTGGCGCCATCGCCTGCTAGGGACCTTCCGCAAGACATTTGCAAAAGTTCTCAACAAAAAGCCGCTCAATCACTGCCCCCTCTCTCTAACGCTTTAGCAGACAGTTTGTAGGCTTTGCCCAAGGACCGGTATCGGTTCACCATGGTCTGCTCAGAGCTCTCATCATCCAGAACACAGAAGCGCAGGCAGGAGCTGTAGACGGAGATGCGAAGGTCATTCTTGAGTAGCAGCTCTCTCGCTTCCTGTGAGGCGGACCGAACCGCAACCCGAACCATCATACCTGAAACACTGAACCGGTTCTAACAGAGCCCTGAACACCTCATCAACTCAGTGCTAGCGGCTGAAGAAACCCGGCTGCTTGCTTCGACCAGAAACTCGAGGATCCTGAGCTTCGATCCAAACTCAAATAGTTCGTTCGGGTTCGGGTGGTGGGGAGTTATTTCAAAAAAATCTTGTTGCAAACAGCCCGTTGTCAAAGCTGCGAACATATGACAAGACATGACAAGACAATATGAGGAGTTGGCATACCGGCTGGAATCATGAAGGACCTCTCAAAGCTAGACCAAAGAACCCATTCATTGTATCCGAAAAGAATATCTATGCTAAGCATAGTGATGTATAAACTGTCTATGCTGTCTTCAAGATGATAGATACACGTTTGCAAACTGAATTCCAAGTGTACGCGGGACTTCACTTGCAAAAGCCGTTTGCTAATTGATTTTCAAAGTGTACGGGGGACTTCACTTGCAAAGGCGGATTAGAGACCGTGAGGTATTGCAAACATGTGCATAGACAAAGTGGAACAAAAAACAGGAAAGCCTTTCGCGGCCATGTCGGGGGCATGTCAAGAAGCCGCTCGTTCGTGGAGCCGGCCAGTGGGCCCGTCAGAGAGAGCGTGAGGCCCACACGAAGTTCGTAGGGGAGGCGACAATACCTGGAGGCAGGGCAGAGATGTCAAGGCTGGAGTGCTTGCATGTATATATAAACATGCACGCACCAACATGATAGAGGTGTCTCATCCTAAGTGATGGAAAGACCAAGAGCAAAAATGCAGTGTACATGTGCAAGCTTGCATCTCAGACAAGCCAAACAGAAGCGGCTCCCCTGAGCCGCAAACAAGCTTAAAAACAAATCAACGAAGGCGGTCACAGGCACTGTGGCCAGGAGGAGCCACTGGTGAAGTTCGTCTCTATGCAAGTCGGTGCATCTGGGCCAACCACGCTTTGTACTGAGCCGCATGCCTGAACAACAGCTTGTGGGGCGACCCGAAACCAAACCGAAACCGCTATCGCGAGGACAAAGGCTGTGGGCACCGTGAGTCAAAAAATGGCGGGAAGGGCCGAGTCAGAAAAAACTGAGGCCGTGTGGGCAACTGCCGCACGGAGTCGGACACATGATGGGCACGAGTCAAGACGGGACGGCACCGAGTCGGAAGATGCACATAGAAGAGAAAGGACAGAAAAAAACAAAAAAAAAAACACACACATAACACTCAAATAGGGGCAGAGATTCAGCAAGCCTGAGATTCCATGGCTTGGGGATCACTGTTGAGGGCTTAGTGGTTGGGTTTGGGTCTCTTCATTTGGGGGTGTAGGAACCCTAACACCTAACTCGAAACCCTGACACCACTCCCAAAAAAACCGAAAACCAGAAAGGATCCCTAGTAGGACTTTATTTGGCAATCACCTTACGACTTGAACCCGGACCTTTAGGTTCGGAGTACGGTAGAAACAGCTAAGGGCGTTCAAGGAGTCTTGCACAAGGCTTGCCGATTTTTTTCGCGGGTGGGACTGCAAGAAAGCCTGTTTCTCTAACTCTGCATCACACCACAAGCATGAACAAACCAAACTCTGCGTCGCTTCATCTTGGCATGAGTTGGCATGTCTATGCGCAACTGGCTTCGGGGCGCTTCGCCTGGTACGTGTTCTGGCTCAACAGGCTGTTGCAATCCTCTTGCGCATGAGCCCACCAGGAGAACCACGAGAGCACACAGAGCGCGCGAGCGAGAACGGAAAGGCCCATGGGGCAGATTCTCGGGGCCTTCCACTCTACGGCGCTAAGGCTTTGACTGTGGCTTGGTCTGGGCTGCGGGGTAGGGGAATGTGCGAGGTGAAGATATGTGAAAAGATATGTGAAGATATGGGGTTCAAGATGAAGAAGTTTCTTCGAGCTGGGTGCATAAGGAATCAGGGCACGCCTCGCAGGAGAGGCAATTACATGGCCCCGCAGGGCTTTTGCCCACGGGAGCCGAAGCTCGAGCCCAAAAAAAGCCAAGATGATGTGGTGGCGGTTCGTTTTTGGGGGCTTTTGGACTCAGATCGCTGTTGCCATTGCACCTCCGTTCGGGGCAGGCGTCAGCCTGATAATCGATCACCGAGGATCCGGGATGATTCGATACTTTGGAGCCTTCATCCGACCCTACATGTGCCTACATTTGAGATGGATACAACTACATCTACATCTACAGACATGTACATCAAAAAGGGGGGGAGGGAGGGAGAGGGAGAGAGAGAGAGAGGGAGAAAGTTGAGGTTCATTGGTCTTGATGTACGGGCAGTAAGAGCATTGGGGAGCAAGTGTGCCACTCAGCAACAACCTACCTGCAGCTAGTCGCAGGCTCTGCGGCATCCAAGCTGCAGGCTGCCCAGAAGCCTGCTTGCAGTCCCTGCAGCCGCAAGCTGCAGGCTAATTTCACTTAGCAAAGAATGTGGCGTTTCTGGTTCAACCCAATTAAGAATTGGAATCCGGGAAAGGAAGCCTCAAGTCCTTCAAGATCCCTGCATCAGGGCATCTTTCTCCTGTGCAGTGTGCATCGATGTGCGTGACACAATCCTGGTGACCAAAGCTTGCCCTCGCCATTTTCTCCACCTTGCGCGAAAGCTCCCCGGCACAATGGTGCTGCTGCAGAAGTGTGCGCAGCGGCCCGCTGCCTAGCCCACCAAGTTCGGATCCAGCGTCCTAGAAGAAGCTGCGGTTTCAAGCTAATGGATACAATCAGGGTTAGCCATGCTTAGCCAACCGAGAAATCAGGTGTAGTATGCAGTCCTCCACCCGCAGTGCCTTCTCGAATGCCCGCAAGGGCCCTCTGAAAAGGGAAGCGGCTTGAGCATCTTCAGCTCCGAGAGCGCCACGAGCACCGATCCAGGAAACCTCCACGACGAGGCCGTGCACCGAGGCTGCCCGAGCACCTGCACGCTGCGAGCGCGAGCGGCCGACGGCTTCCTCCAACGTGCGCCACAGGCCCTGCTGTGGCAAGTGGTTGCTGTCGCAGGCCTGCAGCGCCTGAAGGAGGCAGCCACTATCAAAGCCAAGTGAACCAGGCCCACCACGAGCACCAGGTGCAAGTGACCCAAGTGCCTGCAGGCACTGCAGGGCCTGCTTCCATGCGTAGCGACGTGCACATGCTGCCAGGACCACGTCGACGGCGGCCAGATCGGGCAGAAGAGGCAACTCACGAAGGGGACGAAGGGCATGAAGGTCAAGAAGAAGATGCAGGCCGTGCTGCCAGGAATGTCCCGACCATGCCTTGAGCAGAAGCGTCCATGCCGGCAGCGGCAATTCAGGCAGAAAGGGCTGGAGAAGCCGGACTGCCTCCTGCCAGAGCCCTGCCTGGTCGAGGGAGCTGGCAAGCATGGTGTAACCTCAAGTTGGGCACCGTTTGGCGCATCCGTATTTTGTCTGGGAGTGGCCACTCCCGGGATGCTCTGCAGCCTACCTCAAGACGCTGAGCCCTACTGTCCCCCCAAATCTACACCCTAAACCCTCAAAACCTAAACCCGCACTAAAACAAATGTACTCCACAGCTGTCTTGGTTTCGGCGGCTGTCCGAACGCGTCCGTCTGTGTTTTCTCGATCTGGTTTTGTCTTGGTTTTCTGACTTTGTTATCCTTGCTTTAGTTCCGACCTTACCTTTCTCCCTCAGCAGGTATCTGGAGCACGAATTCCCAACAAAGGTCGGCATCCCTGAGCATTTCGTCGATAGGCTGAAGTGCCTCAATCTTGGCAAGGCGCTGGCAGCATCAAAGTTCGCCGTGTTGGCATCCTCGAAGATCTGTAGGCACTGCTCCCACTTGGCGGCTCGCTCGCAGGCCTGAGCTTTCTCTCACAGCGATATGAGAGCTCCACCCATACACAGTCACGTCATGGACCCAATCTTGCCACAAGTGCCTTCTCTTCACAACAGTTTCCACTGCTTGCAATCGCGAGACAAAGAGCGTTGCGTTGAAGCTAGTGACGTCCGGCTCCTTCCGCATCTTTGATGCATGAAAAACAGCACGGAGCATGGAGCATGATGTAACACACAACAGCGACATGAGCACATGTCTGACGTCCTGGTCACGATCACGCATGCTCTGAAGTAGCTGAGTGGAAAATCTCCACTTGCCTGCGGAACCAAGTGCGGAGATGGTGGCGTTGTAGACGGACACGTTGTTGAGCGAGGCACACTCAGACTCAGCGAGCAGTGCGAGCGCTCGGCCCCAGAAGGCTCGACCACGCTCTAGGGCGCTGATGGCAATGCCAAACGTCGCCACGTCGGGCGTCGGCATGCAGCGCACGAGGTGCATGCAGAGTTGCCACTTTGCAGCGCGGGCGCAGGCCGTCAGTGCTGCATTCAGGACCTGCACTGGTCCCTGCAAGCCTCGGAGGGCACAACACAAACATCACTTTGGCCATCTCTAACCCTTGTTCGTCAGATGGTGGCAGGCGGGGCACCATCCGAACCATGCTGCAGTGCGAGGGCCAAGGCCTCCTGCCAAAGCGCTGCCGCTGCAAAGCAGCCAGCGGCTGCAGCTCGGCCGTAGCTGTCCAAGTTGCCCAAGCCTCCCAAGTCGACTCAATGAATATTGAAGCATCGAGAACAGATGGCTTGTAATCGATCCGAACTCCGACTCAGCTCTCTCTGCTTAAACACCTTCGTCGAGGAGAGTCACGCCCTTGCGCCACTGCGCTGCTGCAGCAAACGAAGCGAGGAGGACGTTGGAGGCCACCTTTCCGACTCGTCGCGGGCAATGGAGTACGGCTCCCCTCTAGCCTACTGGGCCTACTGTGTCATGAGACCGGAGCATCAGCTCGGCCGCCTCGGCCATGTTTGAAGAAGCAAGCCAACTGACTGAGTCTTTCGGTACGTTTGAGTTCTCCTTCGTCTGGCAGACAAGCCTTGTCTGGCATGGCCCGCAGGCCTGGCAACGCCAACCACAGGTCCTTAAATGAGCGGCCAAACACTGCATGCAGCTCACCAACTTGTATTCGCTGATTCCGCGAATCAGAGGGGGCAGTAGGGGGAAGGACGCAACAGCCACCAGGCGGCTAGTGCTCGCTGCCACTGCGATGCACGGGCGAGGGCATCCAGCGCGGCGCCTCCGCCGACCTTCAACAAATACTTCAGGATTTTGCGAACGTTCTCTTCGAGGAAGTTTCTAATGTTCAAGATGTCCTGGTCTAGTTTCTGCATAGATTCCCTGAAGTACAGCACAGTTACTCCAGCTACACTGACCTACTGCAAGGCAATAACGACATTGAAGAAAGCTTCTCGACATCTTTCATCCCGAACTAGGAGAAAGAATCATGGAATAGATTTTCCAGCCTGGTCGATGCCGAAATCTATGAAATCCAGGGCCGTGTTCCAGGCAGCAGCCCTGGAATCTGCAAGATCGCGGCTTTTGAGGGTGCTGCAAGCCGGAATCGGACGGGTCAAGGCTTCATGGTTGGGTGTGGACTTGGCCATGTGATCCATATGAGCTTATGTTGACAATTTGGCACACCCTGACAGTGAGCTTGCCGCGAAGCCACCGAGCGCACGCCGCTATGGACCTTGGATTGAAAGCGAGAATCACGCAGAACCCGTGCAAATGAAGCTTCTTCACTTCTCTCAGGCCGGAAACATGATGCCCCTCAAGCACTACAAAATGTGCATCCAAACGCCAAAGTCTCGAAAAAGTCAGGAATTGCATCATGTAAGGAAGAGTCTCTGCAACTTGTGAATGCCACAGGCAGTCGCAGATCATGCCCAGATAAAACAAGGGGCGTATTTCGGCTGAAGCTGTTGGGTGGAATCCCCTCGGAGTGCATCTCCTGACAGAGAAGCAAAGCAGAGCAAAGAGAGCCATGGGAACTCTCGCACCATGCACCGAGAAGTACAACAACTTCTGAAAAAAAAAAAAAGGAGTCCCGCTTTTCGACTGCAGAGCTTGCGATGCTCTGTACATATATATATATATATATGCTTATATATATATATGTATATACATATGTATATGTATATACATATGTATATGTAGTGTGTCTGTGACAAAGATCCCAAACCCTGCTGGCTGACACTGAAGCACCCCCACCAAAAGTACAAAGTAAAACATACCATGAACACCATCACCGAATCACCTGACATGCCACCACATGCCGTTCACGGCTCCGAGAGAAGACATAGGGCGGCTTGCCACCGAGCGCCCTGCGGACAAACGTGCACTGCGCACGTGTGTTCAAACGCCTTGTGTGCTCATTGCACAAACTTGTGAGTGATGATCCCTTGACTCTCGAGATGTGCCCATGTCCTCCCGACAGGCCCCCAGCGCTGCATTGAAGCACACGGTATCGAGCCTGAAAGGAGGAAGCTCAAGGGGTGACAACGTCGGGACAACATGGAACAGTGTTCGATCACAACACGCACAGGCTGCGCGGTAAGCTTCGCTAAGCACCGCTGTCCACATTCACGTGATTTCATGCACAAGCAAACCTGCACGCTGTAACCCCGTAGCAAAGCCCAAAAAGAGAATCAAGTGAATGTATGCGAACATCGTCCTTCCACACCAAAACCCCTGTGGCGCTTGGAAGCCTCAACCGCGCTGCTCGCAGTGCTTGGAAATGCGTCAAAGCCAAAGCCCAGCGGCGGCCACGCTGGTGCGCAACCTGAGCTAAACAGCCAGGGATGAAGCGACTGCTCATGCTGCTGCACTGTGATGGCACATGTAAGTCGGACGAACGATTTTCAGTGCAACCTGGCTGCGATCAACCGGGTGCTGCTCAGAAGACTGGCCTGCTGTGGAGTACACGTCTGCAGGTTGGCTGGCCATTTTTAATGACTCAGATGTGCTGACGTGGAACACTGAAACCAGCTCTAAATTGCAACAGCGACAGCTTTCCTGTGAAGCCTCGACCCGGGTACCAGGAATGTCGCACGCCAATGCCGAAGTACAACGGCACACTGAGATTCGTCCTGGGTGGAGCATGGAGACAACTCACGAGACCAGTTTGACTGAAAGACCATGTTGTCGACATGGTTGAAAATGCTGGGCATTACGATGATACGTTGAGCCATGAGCACTTTCTGCCCGTAACTGATGCATGGCCGAGAAAATTCTGGTCAGCTGTCATGGCGACTGTTCAGCTGACAAAAGGGGCAATGAGGACATGACTGACATATATCACATACACAGAATTTTGTTCGGAACCTGTCCATGTCACAACATGAACATGACGGCGCCTAGTCCCATCGCGAGCCATTGCATTGCACTGCATGGCAAAAAGTGACATCGAGTTGTCACACTCGAACAAACATTCATCAATGTCGTCGATTTCCCTGCCTATCTTGCATAAGTATACTAACACGTCTTCAATGTTTCTCGTTCCTTGAAAAATTGGCTTCAAAGACAGGCAACACATTCGGAGCAATGCCAATCAATCGGATTTTTGCTGGGTGGGCCACTCGAAAAGCTCCACGTTCAGACTTGTCCGAAGCACATTATCCTGAATGTGACGCACAGTCTGCAGCATAACGAGTGGTAGGGTGGAAAGGCTTTTGAGATGGCAACAAAAGTATCCACTTTCAGCATGTTTTGCATGAGCCGTGATGAAAGCGGCTGGAGGAGCCCACACGTGCGTATGCAAAAGGCACGCTATGGTTGGAGCAGAGCTTGGAAGACCAACTAGAAGGTAAGCAGAAAGCAAAGGCCGGAGAATTTAAATTAGGATTTTTTGGGGGGGGGAATTTTTTTGTTTTTGGGTTTAGGGCTTAGGGTTTAGGAGGGTTTAGGGTTTAGGGTGTTTAGGGTGTTTAGGGTGTAGGGGGTTTAGGGGGTTTAGGGGTTTTGGGGGTTTAGGGGGTTTAGGGGGTTTAGGGGGTTTAGGGGGTTTTAGGGTGTAGGGGGTTTCGGGGGTTTCGGGGGGGGTTTTCGGGGGTTTCGGGGGTTGGGGGGTTTAGGGGGTTTTTAGGGGGTTTTTAGGGGGTTTTTAGGGGGTTTTTAGGCGGTTTTTAGGGGGTTTTTAGGGGGTTTTTATGGGTTTTTAGGGGGTTTAGGGGGTTTTTAGGGGGTTTAGGGGGTTTAGGGGGTTTAGGGGGTTTAGGGGGTTTAGGGGGTTTAGGGGGTTTAGGGGGTTTAGGGGGTTTAGGGGGTTTAGGGGGTTTGGGGGGTTTAAGGGGTTTAGGGGGTTTAAGGGGTTTAAGGGGTTTAAGGGGTTTAAGGGGTTTAGAGTTTAGGGCAAGAAAATTGCCTGGCAATAGGTGGCTGTACTTGGAGGTTCATGGTACTTCTTAACCAATTATAACTGTACTTATAACCAAATTCTCAGCCCCTTTTGTTCCCTAGTATGGTTATCAGTACAGTGATAAGTACAGTTATCATTGCTTAATGAGTACCATGAACCTCCCAGTAGCTGTGCAGACACCAAGAGCAGCAATGACCCTGCATCCATCGCACACATCCCAACACTCCAAACGTCCAGTAGTAGTACCAGTAGCAAGGACAAAAACAAAAAAAAAATCCCAAAAAAAAATCTAAAAAAAACAAACCTCCAAAAGCAAATCTTAACGTGTGTGTATGGCAAAAAAAGGAAAAGCACAGAACTGATGGGCAACCGACAAATTTGTGTTTTGATGCTGGCCCCCCCATATGTTTTGTGTCTACACGTGCGTCGTCAATAACATCATGGCTTGGTTGAGCGCGGGGGGAAGGCGGGCAACGGGGTGGGGGGGTGCATCGAGCCGAGTCCCGAAAGTGGCTTGGCTCTGGCTGACTGCCGATGGCTTGTCGCAGACAAGTCATGGCCCCATATCACATGTAGGCCAGTGTCGGCCACTCCAACCATGGCAGCGGAACCCAAACACTATGGGCACTTTGGGAGTTCTCATCAGTGGCAGATCACCATGTTGGATTCTGCATCTGTATCGCACATCTGAGGATGGCTGTCCGCAATTTTAGGGTGCTACTCGGTTGATGGCTGGCCGCGGGCATCCTCTCAAGTGTGTAGCTCTTGGGAGCTCGCGGGGCATTCGTCGGGGTAATCTTGTAAGGTTTGCAGTTACCATGACAATCGTCTCCCTGATGATACCTGGCATAGGTCAAAGGCCCCCTGCACCCGAAACCCTACATCATGTTTCTGTTTGTGGCTCGCACGGTGTGACGTGCTGGTCCAGGGTTCACGTTTTGAACCTGAGAAAATGCATGCCAAACTTTAATTTTCGTTGAGATCAATCTGCTTCTCAGTCGCGCGTCCACATTGTCAAACGCTTCACCTTCCAAACCACCCTCCGTTAAACATGAGGTTCTCCTAATGGAAAATGCGTCCTCCCAGAAAAATTACAAAACAAGTACAAAACACAGCGCACATGTCTTGCTGAAGAATCCAAATCCAAGGACCAGCGAACGCGGATTTTGCTGGATGGTTTGGCTTTTATAGTGTAATTTCAAGTTGCGATTAATTCTGGGTGCTGGCTGGTGGTTTGGACTTGGCGGCAACAAACTGTCCGAAAACCGAAGGCACAAAGATTTGCGAATGTGTCGAAAATGATTGATGAGAAAAGCATCTTACTTGTGATCGTTTCGTTTTTTGTGAAACATACAAAGGGTTGGGGGGGTCTGGGTGCTCACCACAGAGTACCAAAGACTTGCCACCCCCTAAGACTGACAGGGCATTGCGGTTGTGGACCACTCATCGCCGCTGCTTATCAACCATCTGGAGCAGGAGGAACGGCTACAGACACTAGGATCTGCTGGCCACGTGATTCAGTAATCAGCAGATTGAAGCAGAAGGTTCGCACGATGAACCTTTCGGTTCGTTACGTCACCGCAGATCTGCGGTGCGGATTGAAGCTTATGGGCCTTGCTCGGCGGGATTTGGCAACAAATTGAGATACACAGTAACTGAAGCACTTCTTGCAAGCTGAGTTAGTAGCGAGGCAAGCCCCAAAGTGTTTCACGTCACCTGCTAAAAGGGTGACGTTTGGGGTAAGGGCAAGAGAACCATTAGAGGCAAGGAAGCCTGCGACGTAGGAGAGCAATAGACTTAACTTGAAACCACGCTCATGCTGTCTGCCGTCCAAGATGTAAGAGCCGATTGAATTCGACAACTTCAGCGTATGTCATATCCCAAACTGGGAGCGGACTGTGAAAGAATTTCGTGAGCAGATTTGGGCTTCTAGCTCATGAAAAAAATTGCGAGGGTTTAGGAGTTTAGGGTTTAGGGCTTAACGTTGGGAATTAGGGGGTTTAGGGTTCAGGGTTCAAGGTTCAGGGTTTAGGGTTGAAGGCTTAGGATTCGGAAGTGGGGTTGGGGGTTTAAGGTCGAGGGTTTCGGGTTTAGGGTTTGCTGTGAAAGGGCGCAGAAGCCGTGACTCGCTTCAAAAGCATCGGGAGATGCGAAGAGCAACCATGGCCATAGTGGAGGGCCATCTGATTTCTTCATCCCACCCCACGCCGTCTCAGGTGCCAAAACCACCCAAACCTATTCCTTTTCGGAGCCTAAACTCAGATCAACACCCCACTTCCAAAAACTGCCTGCCAGCCGGCCAGGCGTGCGAACGACCTGGATCGGCTTGCGTCATGGAGGTCGAAGGGCTTGAACTAAAGTTTTGAATGAAAGTGTTGAACGAAAGGTTTTGAGCGAATTGTTTTGAGCGAAAGTTTCTGTTTGGTCGCACAAACGGACCTGGTTTTCCAGCCCATGGTGGCCTATAGCTGAAAGTGCCTGGGAAGCAACGGCGTCAATCAAACATGAAAACGTTCCTATATAAGGCGCTCAGGACTGTGCATTCCGACGCATGGGTTTCTCTCACCATCTTTTCTATTAGACGCACACTTGGCCAAAAGCATGCCGCTATTTCTAGAATTAACTCCTCACTCAGCTGAGAGCCTTTCACTCGTTTCGTGTCCACCTGGTTGGAGCTTGTCAAAAAGCGCAATCTTCCGTGCGACTTGAACCCATCCTCCGTCGTTGAAGCTCACGGTGCTTACATCCTCCCATGAGCATATCCCGGCAGCATAGCGCAGGTCATCGCTTGCGGCGTTGGCGGCGCATGCCGTGTGCAGGCAAGCGTTCCCGAGCCTGGTTACTGCGGCACCGCTTGCCGTGTGCAGGCAAGCGTGCCCGCATGCACTTAGATCCTGCCCAATCGGGCCTGGAATTTTACAGTTCGCAGGTTTTCAATGTCCAGTCCCAACCAACCCACTGCAGATTTCCACACCTGTCCTACAAGCACAGTGCCCAACCCCGCTGCCCATCTCTGCAACTTGTGATACAAGCACAGTCCCCCCAAAACCCCGCTGCTTCTCTGTGCAAACATTCTCATAGAAACACCGTCCCCCCAAAACCCCGCTGCTTCTCTGTGCGAAAATTCTCAAACAAGCACAGTCCCCCCAAAACCCCGCTGCTTCTCTGTGCGAAAATTCTCATACAAGCACAGTCCCCCCAAAACCCCGCTGCTTCTCTGTGCGAAAGTTCTCATACAAGCACAGTCCCCCCAAAACCCCGCTGCTTCTCTGTGCGAAAATTCTCACACAAGCACAGTCCCCCCAAATTCCTGCTGCTTCTCTGTGCGAAAGTTCTCATACAAGCACAGTCCCCCCAAAACCCCCGCTGCTTCTCTGTGCGAAAATTCTCATACAAGCACAGTCCCCCCAAAACCCCGCTGCTTCTCTGTGCGAAAATTCTCATACAAGCACAGTCCCCCCAAAACCCCGCTGCTTCTCTGTGCGAAAATTCTCATACAAGCACAGTCCCCCCAAAACCCCGCTGCTTCTCTGTGCGAAAATTCTCACAAGCACAGTCCCCCCCAAAACCCCGCTGCTTCTCTGTGCGATAATTCTCATAGAAGCACAGTCCCCCCACAATCCCGCTGCTTTTCCAACGCTCTCAACATAAGGCCCGATGAAGTCCACGTTGACATCCATCCACGGTTCAGCGTGTGTTGTTCCAACTGAGAAGACGCACATCGGGGGCAAGACTGGGTCCAGCACTCGCAATCTGGGAAGCATGCGGTTCCAAACAAAGCACCGGCAAAGCTTATCAAACGTCTTAGCGGCGTCGAGGTGCCCGGACAATGGTGAATCATAAAAACAAGAAAACGCCCACGCCTCCACCCCCCCACGGGCACTTCCGCCACAGACAAAGAAAGATGGATTTGACGGCTATGGTCATTTAAGAATGTTTTGTACGAACGCCTCTTTCTTCTGCAAGGACTGTTTAGCAGAGCGATTAAGAAGAATTGGGCCAAAGTTAAAGCCGATGCTCCAGA